CGAGGTAAATGGGATCACAGAGTGCACTATAATACTCTTCAACTAATGGTTTGATACGAATGAATGAATGAAATATGGTTTGAATACTTTTGATACATTCCGCATGGGTCACTTAAAAAAAGGTGGTGAGTTGCTGTTTTAAACTTCTATCCGAGGCATAAATAGATCAGTAATTAAACACGGTGATGATGATGAGCCATACAACTCCCTGTGATTGTTGTAATCGTCATTGGTTAACATTGTGTAACCCTGAGGTCATCAGAGATGTATACTGTTTGTCTTTTAAAATGTGCTACCCTACCCTGTCATCTGAAAACTACTCCTAATGGGCCACTACAAGAGGATTGAGGATTGATGATGAGAAAAATAGCAGTTGATCTAAAAGCTTTCTGTGCTGTGCAATGCCATACTCCTCAATGCTGTAGGAGTGGAAACACAGGAAGAAAAGTTGAGGGTGTCAAGTTATTGGACATAGATGAGTTAGTTCCCAATTGCTGCTTACAGATGGCCCTGGGCTTTTGTTGTGAAAATTTTTGCGCTGGGAATGGGCCAAAAAAAAAGAAGAAACTCAACTTCCACCATCTTCTTGTTTGGATGCTCTCTTTGGTGCAGAATCCCATCGGGTAAAGTGTAGCCAGAGACCTGAGTATGATACAGTGGTAGTGTGTATATTAATGGCACTGGGTAAGCTTTGGATACCAGCATCTAGCAGTGACAACAGCTGTATTCTCCTTTCCTATTAAAGCACCTGTCCTGAGAAGAACTTCATCCCTACTTGTTATTAAACTTCCCCTGTGTATTCTTACACAGAGTTGGGCTTAATCAGATCACCCCAAATGGATCAAACAAGGAACCTGTCTGGACTTGAGGGTCTTTCAAGAGAAGAAACATGGGCTCGGTAGAGTGCACATCTCCGCCAGGTCGGTCTAGAAAAGGGAAAAAATAATAAATTGTTTCATCTCCACCTCTGAAACCAAACCTACTAACTTGTTGTCATGTGTGTAATGCCGTGTGCACTCTACTGGATGAATTATCGATTAGATACAGTGAATCAATCAGAAGCTGATGATTTGGTAAATGGGTAAATAAGAGGTAGAAAACTAAATTGGATTTACATTTGCTATGTTGCCAGAACCATAACTTGGCTTACAGCTGAATCTAAAAACATTGTTTTCTTGTAACAGTATCCCTGTCAGGAGCGTAAAACAGGGAATAACGAATAAAACCAGCACTGCTATTGAGTTGTATCTCTGACTTTCATTACATCTCGGGAAACAAGCTGTCGCTTTTTTTTTTTCAGGGATGGACGACGCATTTTTAACCACTAAAAGATAAAACGGCTGCCTTAGTGTTTGTTCTCCATTCCTCATCAGTAATGTGCTACACACAACAATCTAACGGAGAACATACAAAACTAATAAATGTAAGTAGGAGAAAAACTGTGTAGGTGTCTTTTTCAATGCTATTGTGAGTGTTAGCTGTTGGTGCAACTTGCCTTCACAATCCATTTACAGCGCCGTGTGGAGCTGGTGGGCACAGACTGACAGATTACGGGCAGTAGCAAGACAGCAGCTTCAATAAAGTCTCAAAGGAAGCACCAAGATGAAGCAGAGGAAGATGAACAGCGCAGTGTTGCACGTCTTAGCTCAGACTATCAAGGTACGTATGTTACCTCGTGATTGCCATAATTATCCTTTTAAGGCATATGCGAGTACATTGATCTCACTAAATTCACGTTTCTGTTAGGAATAAAAAATGATTATACATTTGTAACAAAGTAGAAGTACTAGCACTTGATTTAAATTTGGCTGTTTTGCAACCACCCCTAATTTAGAGAATAGAACTATCTGACAACTTTAATCCTTAAAATTGTAGTGCAACACAAATACATTTACAGCAAACTTGGTAAAAATCAAACTGCAGCAGCTGGACAATAGGTTATAATGATTCACTGGGTAAAATACAGCTATAAAACTAAGAAGAAAAGTTTGGTTTTAAAAATGCACACAACGGGTAATGAAAGAAAATTCACAGTTGACACTATGATTGTTTATAACTTGTAAACAAAAATATACATTTATAATACAAATATTTTTAGTATTAGTCCAATGTACTCATTAAGACAAGTTTATTTAATTTTTCAACGTATTCCTAGTATGTCAAAAGTCTTGCGTCGATCAAGAACCTCAGACTACTTCAATTCAAGTGCAAAAACACAACAACAATGTGGTATGCTATTTGTATGTAATGTATGTTGTAAAACAATATAAATGAATTACTGTGGCTTCAAGAGCAAACATTGCGTTTTTGTTTGTTGAAGATCATTTCAAAGCAATACAGCTTGGACTAAGGAAGGCTGAAAACCCTTGTAGATCACATAACAAGCTACCAAAATAGCAGTAATCTATCCTGACCATGTCACACTTTGCCTGAGGCCAGGCGCTCAGGTCACGTTGTGAGATCAGGGGCCACATTGGCAGGTAAACGTTGGTTCCAAACAATCTGAGCCGGGACCTCCTGCAGTGCTCGACCAGCTCGACAGCACGACAGCAGACCAGCAGGGGTTAATGTCTGCCACTGCATTTTCTCTTCCTCTGCCTTCTGAAGAGAACAACTGCAGTCCGGTCTCTCCTCTTCCCTTTTTGTCCAAAAGAACGTGCAACCTTTAACCAACTCTCCTCCTATCTCCACCGTAACAACCTCCTTGACCCCCACCAGTCAGGCTTCAAGGCAGGCCATTCCACAGAGACTGCTCTCCTTGCTGTCTCAGAGCAACTCCACACTGCTAGAGCCGCCCCTCTCTCCTCTGTCCTTATCCTTTTGGACCTCTCTGCTGCATTTGACACAGTCAAGCACCAGATCCTTATTTCCTCCCTTCAGGAACTTGGTGTCTCTGGCTCTGCTCTCTCCCTTCTCTCGTCCTACCTCAACCGCCGCACCTACCGGGTAACCGGGCGAGGTTCGGTGTCGGAACCTTGTCCTCTTACTACTGGAGTTCCTCAGGCTTCCGTCCTGGGTCCCCTCCTCTTCTTGCTCTACACAAACTCTCTCGGCGCTGTCATTCGCTCGCATCTCTCGGTGGATGTCCGCTCACCATCTGAAAATCAACCCCGACAAGACTGAACTACGTCTCTTTCCGGGAAAAGACTCTCCGACCCATGACTTGACGGTCAACTTTGGCAACTCTGTGCACCCACTTGGACTGCTAGGAACCTCGGCGTGACACTCGACAGCTAACTTTTCCTGACTCCCAACATCACTGCAACAACACGATCCTGTAGATACACGGCATATATGTCAAACTCAAGGCCCGCGGGCCATATCCGGCCCGGCATGCAATTACATCTGGCCCGCGAGATCATTTTATATTATTGTTACTAATGGCCCGACGATATGAAGCGCTGATAACAAAATAAACTACAGATCCCATAATGCAGCGCTTCAGCTGCCTTGCCGAGCGCTTTCCGTGGCGTTTCTGGCTGACATAACCGCGCATCTCAATGCTTTAAACCTCCAGCTCCAGGGACGTGACCGCATGATCACTGACATGTATGACGCAGTGAAGGCATTTCAAGTGAAGCTGATTTTATGGGAGACACAAATGCACCAGTGCAACTTGCCCCACTTTCCCTGTTGCCAAGTAATGCAACACACCGGTGTTCCCAAATACGCACTGGATGATAAACTGAGCGCACTGCGCGCGGAGTTCGCACGGCGCTTTGGTGATTTTGAGGAACAAAAAAATAATTTTGAGTTGTTTCGCAACCCATTTGCCGTCGACGTGGAAACTGCACCTGTGCAGATTCAGATGGAGCTGATTGAGCTGCAGTGTAATGGGACACTAAAGACAAAGTACGTCACTGTTTATTCACTCCATTCCCGCAGCAATGTCCCAGCTCCGTCTACATGCGGCTCGAACCTTGTGCATGTTTGTTAGCACATATCTGCGTGAGAAGCTGTTCTCAGTGAAGACAAACAAAACAGCACACAGGAGTCGTCTCACTGATGAGCACCTTCAGTCCATCCTGAGAGTCTCCACAACACGGGACCTCACGCCAAACATAAACCAACTTGTTGCCAAAAAAAAGATGCCAAGCATCCAGCTCTGATGAAATGGCATAAGAGCAAAGAAAACTGAATGTTTTGCATCGTTATTTGTTATTTCTGAAAAGCACACATTTTATTTATATGTCCAGGTTTTGTTTTGTTTTGCAGCATGTTCATATTTCTAACTTGTATAGTTTTGACAGGAGATATTTTTATGGAGAGTAAAATCATTTGTGATATTTAAAATCCAAGTTTTTTTTTATATAAAATGACAAAAGCAAAGAAAGTAAAATGTTTTGATTTGTTATTTTAATGTTTACTTAAAGCACAAGCTGTCACAATTTTTATTTATTTTTTCAGGCGTTTTTTTGCAGCATGTTCATATTTCTAACTTGTATAATTCTGACTGGATATATTTTTATGGAGAGCAAGATATTTTAAGTTATTTAAAGTTTATTTATTGCAGAATAACATTCCTGTCTGTTTGTATTTATATTTATGTTAAAAGAAACATTTAGTTTTAGTGTAGCTCTGACCAAGCTCTCGCCTTATAATCTGGTGCGCGCTATATATGAAAAATGTTCTAAAATAGGTCATTCATTGAAGGTGCGCCTTATATATTATATATATAAGGTGCGGCAGTTGAAAGCTGACATTTCGAGAATCATAGACACCATAAAACACCATTATGTAAGATAGTAATCCTCTGATCCAACATAATGTGAATTCATGGATGTCATGTCCAGGAAACAGAGTTAGTCAAGTTGTCTTGTGCCTTTGTTCTGTGCCAGTTCGTCTTGTCTCACGTCAAGGAACCAGTGTATGTGTAAATCCATAGCTTTACCACGTTTGTAGAGGTATGTGACAGGAAGAAATACAGGAAAAAACAGGATAGAAAGAAATCGTCACTCTTGTCAGCTTTAAGAGCTTGAATTTAGTGCAGGAAACAACTATGTAGCTGCAAAGACACATAAAATTGAAAATAGAAGATAAACCTTTGGGCTCAGTGTTATACCGGAGCTACCATGTGATTGACTGGTTGTTAGAGCAGTGTACTGCGTCTCCACAACAGTGTCAGTCCTCTACGGTCCAAATATGGTAATTATTGCAAAAACAAGGTGGGAACAGACACAATCAAGCATGGCAGTGGACAATGTGCCGCACTCAAGGCTTTGAAAACACAGGGTTGTCATGATGTCACAACTACATGCACTTCTAAGTTAAATTATGTGATGCAGTGTGTAAACTTGGAAGTAGTAACTGAAATAATTGTCCTCTTCACCATTGCCTGTTGAGAGCAGCCTCCGACAAGAGAACAACACACCAACAGCAGCGCATCTGCGATAAGTGGAGGTCCATTTCCTCTTACATTAGGGTCCGGACAAAGGTAACGTTTTTTTTTCCATCTTTCATTGTGCTTCACAGCATCTCAGTCTTTCATCTAAGCAGTGACTGGATCAATTATGCATGTGAGCTAAGAACAGCTTTCTTACTGAAGTACATGGGAGCATGGCGGCTGACAAGGTGTTAGTGTGTAATGACTGTTGTTACTGTCCTTCATTTCTCTCCTACTTGTGGTCAACCCTCCAACTCTATCAAGGAATTTGTGTTTTTCTTTATTTTTTAAATGTATTTAGTAAATGTACACCTGAGGTGTAGCTATGCATCAACTAGCAAATGTGTCTAGTTAAAAACACTTTCAAAGCCTTATTCGCTGAAGTTGAGAAATCATAATTAAACCTTCTTTCTCAACCAGTTCTCTCTCATTTTCCCACGTTGCTTTGTCATTATTCATTATTTTGCACTGGGGATAGATGTTTGTGTGTTTTTGCCTGTGCTCGTCTCACTGGTAAAATATTTATTGATTAAACTACAACCACAAAGTCTTGACGAGGCAAAAATTGTTATTGAGTGAACCTAACATGAAGATGGTTCCCTGTTCTGCAGTTGCCGCATGATATATTTGATTTGGGGAGGCAGCTGTACTGTAACTGTGGAGGATGTGCGGAAGAAAGTAATTTGATTATTGCAACGCTGTGTTTCGGCCTGCAGCGGTCTGTTTTGCATCAGTTTTTTCCTAATGGGCTTGTCATACCCTCCCCCTCTCCGTCCACACTCCGTCCAATTATGTTTTATTTGTCCACAATGATTCTAGTAGAATGGAATAGCTGGCTGATTAATATGCATTGGATGTGGCAATGGGTTCTTAAGGAGGCACAGGGGTGCTTTTGATGTAGTTAATGAAGGATTTTTTGAGCTTTAAAACAACAAACTACACAATGACTTGTGGGTTGATTTGATGTTTTCTTTGTATCTGTACTTGACATCCGCACTGTTGACCCCGTCCAGCATATTGTGATCTTCCCCCATCACCAGGTGCTGCTGGAACACAGCATCTCCATTAAAGGAATGGGTCTCATCAAATATTAAATTGTGCTAAAATGCTCTGTTGGGCTGCATCTCCAAACATTATCTGCTTCTAATTTCTGAATCATTATCTGCTCGCAAAGGAGGCAGGGAAGGTGCTTCCCATATGCGTGGGCTAATGGCTTTTCCTTTCATTACTCCCTTCCTCGGAGTGCACAGAAATGAACCTCCATATTTCAAAGACAGCGAGACGTCATGGTTCGGATGGTTTCTCAAAATAAACCAAAGAGAAAACTTCATGAGGTGCGTTCGAGGGGGAAATTGGGAGGTTGAACCTGACTCACCCCACCGTCTGTGGTGGTCTCAGATGTTTCCGTTTCTGTCACTTCATGTCTTATTAATTAACCCTGTCGGATCCTTTCAGAGCCCACTGCAGCAGAAGCAGGTTACCTTGGGGGCCACAGATTGCTCAGTGTGTGCGGGTGTGAGCGGAGAGTACTCCGATGTCATGGGGGCATCTCAAGTTTACAACTCAACATCAGCAAAATACATGCAGAACATCTTCATGATTATCTTCAACTTCGAGGATATTGCCAAGTTTTCAGATTTAGGTCATCGAAATGAATACAAGCAGAGTGGAAGATGAAGAAGCATAATGGCTTCGCGACGAAGCATTCAGGAGTAAAAACACAGGAAATTGAGCTCTTGGATTAAGTGCATTTTTCTCTGCATGGATTAATCATTGTTGACAAAAGATTTGAACTAATTTCATCCTCAGAGAAATCTAATGTGATTCTATAAAGTCTGAAGTCTTTATTTTCACAATGAGCAGCTTCTACAGCCCATTTTGAAGACACGTGACAGGGCTCTATAGATTCTATTGTTTTGTTTTTATTCACCAATGTGGACTCCAGAGCTTAAGGATTGCGAAACCCTAAACTACATTTTATAACTACACTGTTATTTGAAGCAGATGGGCAATTCTGGTTTGTGTTTTCTTATTTATTTATATATATATATATATATATATATACATATATATATATATACATATATATATATATATATATATATATATATATATATATAACGTCTATTCTCTCAAACCATTTGTTCAGAGCGTGAAACATGTCGCTCAGTGCTCACGGTAGGGGATACATGAGGTACTTTCTCTTTCCTACTAGCAGGAGACAAGACCTGTCCCCTAATACTGCGTCCAGGCCGTGAATAGGCAGAATAAACCTGTGACATATTTAATTAAATTCAAAAGCTCAAGCTGTTAGACATTGGGTTTGGCCCTGCCCTCCCCTGGTCCTAATGGATGCTTGCGGTCCGTAATGCCTCAGTGCCAGATCCACTCTGTCAGCTCTGGGGAGTGATGCTGAAAAATGGGGCTTTGTCAGATCTGGTAATGAATCTGCATAGTCAGACAGAGACGTCAAATTGTCTGAGGGAAAGAGCAACTCTCCGAATCATTAATCAACCCCGAGGGTTGAGGAAATGGTCATGAGGCCTACGTGCACAGTTTGAATTCAATTTGGAAAAACATCCACGTGACGGGCTAAACCAAGATGTGTACTGAGCTCAGTCTGTCTGTAAGGAGGAAATCTTCGGACGAGGACAAGGTGGCTTGGTGAAGGCTTGAAGAGCATCAGTCTGGAGGCTGCACCTGGATAAAATCACAGTGCCCTGTCCCGAGGCGAGCCACATGTCGCTCCACGGCGTGACAAAGAGCAGCTGTGCTCCACATATAAAGACACCCCCCGCCCCTGATGGTCTGCGTTGTTCTCTTCTGTTTCGTCATACCGGTTCGTGCTGATGGACGTGTAGATAAGAGGCCCGTGTTTAGCAGCGGTCTATCGGATTCCAGCGCGAGAACAGAAATCCAATTACTACCTCATCCTATCATCACAGGGGTGTGTGAGTGTGGGATAAGCGACTGCAGAGGAGAGACAGTCTGAAAGGGGGAAAGCAGTCAATGTTAAGCTACAACTCGCATTCTTTTTTAAATAACAACAAAAAGAACAATGTGGCGGCATCAGATTCCATTATTATTTTTTTTTCCAATTAAAACAAACATGAACTCTGTGACGTAAACAAACTATGTAGTCTCTGGGCAACTTCACGGAATGAGAACTGCATATTACACTCGACAGTTTGTGTTTTGTAAGACTGTTGTGTTCAAAAAATGAAGAAACTCCGGACGGACAGAAGACATCTTGGTTGAAGATTTAAAATCAAAAGTATTTAAAAAGGGTGAAAGGCTTTAGAAAGTGTGTTGTGATAAAAAGAACATCTCAGCTGAGGAGCTGCTGGTCTCTGCAATCAACGGGCAGGGCAGTCCTTTGACCATCCTTAGTGCCTGTCTTTTGCCTCCACCAGGGAACTCGGGAACAATGGTTGCCTACAGGTATTTACAGTTGTGCTCATAAGTTTACATACCTTGGCAGAATTAATGATTTCTTGGCCATTTTTCAGAGAATATGAATGATAACACAAAAACCTTTCTTTCACTTGTGGTTAGTTGTTGGGTAAAGCCATTTATTATCATTCAACCGCGTTTACTCTTTTTAAATCATAATGATACCAGAAACTACCCAAATGACCCTGATTAAAAGTGTACATACCCTGGTGATTTTGGCCTGATAACATGCACACAAGTTCCACACTTTTGTGGAACCGGGTTCCACTTTCAGTCCGGGGGGCAGATTCGGTCAGCTCTTTTAAAGTAAAACTTAAAACGTTCCTGTTTGATTCTGCCTATAGTTAGGGCTGGCTCAGGTTAGTCCGGACCAGCCCTTAGTTAAGCTGCTATAGGCTTAGAATGCCGGGGGAATTCTCCTCTGACGTTCTCCCTAAGGTTTCTTCCCTTTTTTCCCTCTTGTAAGGGTTTTTTCATTTTTTGGGGAGTTTTTCCTGTGCCGATGGTGGGTTTCGGGGCAGAGGATGTTGTATGTGTACAGACTGTAAAGCCCTCTGAGGCAAATTTGTAATTTGCGATTATGGGCTATACAAAATAAAATGACTTGACTTGACTTGACAAGTTAACACACAGGTTTAAATGACTACTAAAGGTAACCATCCACACCTGTGATTTGTTTGTTTGTAATCGGTGTGTGGGTATAAAAGGTCAGGGAGTTTCTGGGCTCCTGACTGACCCTTACGTCTTTCATCCAGTGCTGCACTGACGTTTCTGGATTCTGAGTCATGGGGAAAGCAAAAGAATTATCAAAGGATCTGCGGGAAAAGGTAATTGAACTGTATAAAACAGGGAAGAGATATAAAAATATCCAGGGAATTGAGAATGCCAATCAGCACTCTTCAAACTCTAATCAAGCAGTGGAAAATGAGGGATTCGGGTGAAAGAAAACCATGGTCGGGTAGACCAACGAAAATTTCAGCCATAACTGCCAGGAAAATTGTTCGGGATGCAAAGAAAAACCTACAAATTACTTCAGCTGAAATACAGGACTCTCTGAAAAAATTTGGTGTGGCAGTTTCAAGATGCACAACGAGGAGGCACACAGAAAAATGGGATGCATGGTTGAGTCGGCAGAAGAAAGCCATTACTACGCAAATGCCACAAAGTATCCCGCTTACAATACGCCAAACAGCACAGAGACAAGCCTCAAAACTTCTGGAACAAAATCATTTGGAGTGATGAGAACAAAATTGAACTTTTTGGTCACAACCGTAAATGTTACATTTGCAGAGGAGTCAACAAGGCCTATGAAAGGTACACCATTCCTACTGTGAAACATGGAGGTGGATCGCTGATGTTTTGGGGGGTCGCTTTGGATAAAAGCGTTCGCTAAATGACATGTAATGTAATGTAATGTAATGTGTGAGCTACACAAGCACAGGAAACCTGGTCAAAATTGATGGCAAGATGAATGCAGCATGTTATCAGAAAATACTGGAGGAAAATTTGCACTCATCAGCCTGGAAGCTGCGCGTAGGACGTTCCAACATGACAACGATCCAAAACACAAGGCCGAGTCGACCGGTCAATGGCTACAGCGGAATAAAGTAAAGTTTCTGGAGTGGCCATCTCAGTCTCCTCAATATCATTGAGCCACTCTGGGGAGATCTCAAACGTGCAGTTCATGCTAACCCTAACCCAAGAATTTACAGGAACTGGAGGCTTTTTGCCAAGACGAATGGGCAGCTTTACCATCTGAGAAGATAAAGAGCCTCATCCACAACTACCACAAAAGACTTCGAGCTGTCATTGATGTTAAAGGAGGCAATACACAATATTAAGAACTGGGGTATGTAAACTTTTGATCAGGGTCATTTGGGTAGTTTCTGTTGTCATTATGATTTAAAAAGAGTAAACACAGTTGTTCCATAATAAATGGTTTCACCCAACCACTAACCATGAGTGAAAGAAAAGTGTTGTGAAGTATGTTTAGATAGAAAATGTTTATGTATTAGCACAAATTCCGCTAGCTGAATGCTAATGCTTGTTAAGCATCCCCTAATCCAGGTTGGGAAAGCATATGGCTACTAAGTGATGTGCACCCATTGTTAGCTGTAGACAATTACTGCTCATTATTCCTGCTCAGCATTAGCAGTGCGCTGATGTTTCTTTGTTTCTGTTTTCTTGTAGACCCACTCAAACATATGCACACACATCTACACCCATAATAATACTCAATGAAGAAGAATGGAATCACATCTGCCTCAGCATTCTGATCGGTGCACTGCTGTGGTCACACGCCCCCAACAAGCTACAGTCCTATAAACCCTTTATTGCAAGCATGATACTGTATGTTTTGCGGTAGTGATCTGTAATGATATTTTATTATTGTGAAACTGTCTAAAAGTCATTTTTGAGTGACCAGTGAACTGCTCCTGAAGAAGACCACGCAGCCTCAGTTCATCCTGAGCACATTTGAATTGAACAGTGAATTACAATTTAGAAGTAACTCAAATCCTTTTTTTCCCCCATGCGTACACCACTAATACTTCATCTTTGAATATTGTTCTGACCTGCCGTGCCACCTGCCTCCGTCCCTCTGGCGTCCTCACTCGGCTGTCCCCCTTTCATTGAAATCCCCAGTCATTAAAATCCCTTCTACAGATTATCAGTCCTGTGTGATCTCTGTGTGATGGATCAAATCTCCCTTCTAATAATTGTTTCCCACCATCAGGCTGGTGGGGAGAGTTGGACAATCTTAATTCATGGCGATCAAAAATTTGGTTGTCTGGGGTTTAGCATCAGGAACTGGTAATTCAGATTCATTGTGATATTCAAATGAATCTCTTGAGTCCCGACCATTGGAATGTGAGCAAATAGCAAATGCTGTATACAATTACTTAAGCACCACATTTCTAAATGGATGCTAGACCACAGTTTCATCGTCAAACCGCTTATCCTGTACACAAGTTCGTGGGTCTTTTAAACTGACTTTACTTTTTAAAAGCCCAAAACTCACACTTTCCAATTTTTGAAAAAAATAATTTGGCTGAATCAGAGGACATTTATATCAGTTACTTAGCAACAGTATGGGCATTGGCACCAACAGGTCTTTTTCCAGCCAACAGTCTAAAGCTTTGCTAAGGAAGGCTTCACAACAACATACAGCAGGGATTTCTTAATGGAGTATCTCATACGATGAGGATGAGGATTGAGACACAAAATATTAAAATTTCCAATGCACACAATATTCAATGAAGTGTTTAAATTTATGTTTTGATAGACCACTTCTGAAACATCTGTCAGTTTGAGATAAGAGGTGCAGTCATCTTTCACTAAATCTTTTCACTCACCTAGGCCTCAAGCACAGGCTGATCCTGAAGCCCCTCGCCAAGAGCTTCCGGGTAAAATGTTTTGACGGAAGAGATTTCTTGCCATTTCCCAAAGCAAGCAATTTCCCCGTCCCCGTTATTTTTCCGTCACATTGCCTTTGGGAAAGAATAATGCTTGACCTCTACATCGTTTGTTGCTTTTGGTTCTGTTATGTATGCTGGAAAGAGAGGTCATAATTGAAAGTTGCAGTGACAGAAGAGATAAGGGCTTCTAGAAATGATACTGGGACATGGACAACCACTGTGGTCTGACAAAGACTGAGGATTTTAAACAAAGGACACAAAAGTCCTTTGGTTATCCGATAAGCTTGTCGAGCTTTAGTTCTTCTCCCGATAACGGTGACAGATCCAATCCAGCAGAGTTTTTCTTGTCAAAAAGAAGAAGTCTCAGCTGAAATGACCACTGTTACAAGCTAATATAAGCTGAAACAGTTGTTTGAAAACTCTGTAAATGGCTCAATTTTTAATGCTTCCAGCTGAGCCGCGTGGAGGCCAGGTCAATAGTGTTGCTAAACCGCTGAGGCTTAAACTACATGCAAAATAATGAATCATCCCATCCAGCACAACCCAGGATCCAAGATTAATAGACTTAATGTGTTTATTAAGTCCCAGCTTTATCCAGTTAAGATCCAAGATGAACTGATTTCTTTTGTATAAATAAAAACGTGTCATATTTAAGAGTCATTTATGTGTGTAGCTTAAAATGATATCATGCAATTCAGCTGTTTTTTAAATATCAAATCAACATCAACATATTTTAAGATAGCTATTTAGTAGCACATGAGCTCAGGCGTGTGGGCACTATAGCAACACATCAGCTGGGACAACGACAAAGGTCACCTGGATCGAGTGTCTTGATGACCTGAAGGATTTTTAACATGTATGTATGTATGTATGACAAAAGCAACTTCCCTCAATACGGTGCAGACAAACCTGTACTGGATAAAAAGTGGGAAAGACACTAAAAAGGAAAATAATTAATTAATCGATCCTGTGTGATGATAATAGTGTTTAAAGAAAGTGGGTTGGAGTTTCTTTTGAGAACCTCAAGCTCACATGAGGGAAAAATCCATCCCCAGTTTGGTTTGCAAAGCGTAGGGAATCACAAGGAAGGGTTATAGGCAGGTACGTGAGGGGTCAGGTTTCCCTGATATTATATAGTATGTATTATATTGTATATACACCATCTCTGCCTCTTCCTTTAAGACCAATGGGTCAGCGTGCACTTACGTCTTCATCAATGATGCATGACTTTCCCTTTGAACCAGCAAGCTGTGGAACAACATAGTGGGCGCACACACACACAGTCCATACTGTACATCAACCTGAGAACCAGCTGCAATAATACAGACACAGCGGTTTGCTTTTCCGAGCATACACACATAAATTGATGAAAAACAAACATGTCACCATATTTATATTAGTTGTGGAACCGATCCCGGAAGGAGCCACGTGTGTTGCAATATTTACAGTCCTATGTAGAGGTTGGTATAACTTTAGATTCATTGTTATTATAAATTATTAATCTTGTATGCCATTCTTTATGGTGTTGGTCTGGTATTTGGGATATTTTTTAAACCAAGTTTAAAAATAAACAGCATACAATTATTGAAGACAATTGACTCTTAATCGTCATATAGATGCCTCACTCAACAAAGCAAAAATAGTTATGTTGTTCTTCTAGGTATTCTTCATCGATAGTAGACCAATCGGTAGCAGGCTGTATAATTCAACATGTATTACGTGAATCCCGCTATTCAATTATGAATGTGAGCTTGTCTTTTCGAATAATACATAATCCAAAAGGTTACTACACCCCTCAAAAGATCATACGTGAACCTACTAATTACCCAAGGAGGGGAGGGGGCATGACGAGAGAGAGAGAGAGAGAGAGAGAGAGAGAGAGAGAGAGAGAGAGAAAAGATTTCAGCACCGGCGCTGTCCGCGGGCTCTTGGAGAAGTCTCCTTTCCTGCCGAGGTAGCGAGACGCTGCACTCCTACTGTAAACGTCCTTTGCGCGGCCGCGAGGAGGAAGGAGGGATAACACGACACTGCCGTTCGCTGCCGTTCATCTCTTCTGCCCGGGGAGGGTAAGGAGTGAGGGAGGGGGGCATCCTTCTTCCGACGGGGCCAAATACGGCGGCGCGTGCTTCAATCCAGCGCAGTCTTGCCATGCTGGACGACCGGACTTGAGACAGGAGAAGGTCAACAACAACAACAAAAAGTCTCCACACAACTCGAGGTTAGCCGCCCTTTTTTGACGGTGAGTACCACAATAAAACACGCATGGCACCCCCCCCCCCCCCCCACCCCACCGAAGTCAGATAACCGAATGCCAAGCGGGTGCGGGCGATAGACCGCGTGCATAGGTGATGGGAAGCCTCGTAACGGACGCGTTCATGGGATAAATAATTAGGTCAGCTCCCCACACGGTTGTGGATGCGCGTCGCGTAAATATGTGATCAAACTGCAGGAGCTCGAGCTGCTGTTGTCTTCTTTTTCTTTAAATATATTATAAGAATCTATGTATGTCTGTAGGCACTGGAGTGCAAAGACAACGGAGTTCTTGGGAGTGGGTGTGCATGTACGTCATCGGGAGGAAGGGTGTTAAAGCACCAGGCTTTTTTTGGGGCGGGGGTCCTCAATGACCGAAGTTGCTATTAATGAGAGCAACCAAAAGCATGATGATTCTGAATCCTCAGCAGCAGGCTGACTCTCTCTGTATACTTTTCCCAGCACGTCCCACAGGAGTGGAGGGGGAAAGGTGAGGGGGGGAGGTGGTGGGTCCATTAAGCCGTCCTCCGGTTGCTGCTTCTGTTATTCCCCGAACCCTCAAGCAAGCCGGTTTGGGCGTTAGACCTCCGAGTGGGTCCTGTCCGCTCCTCGCGCTCTGTGACGATCCCTGCAGCTCGGTCTGTGTGTCACTAAGGGACTTTCCACTCAACAGCGTTGCAGGCTGGCACTGGCCCCTCTGCCTGGCAGCGACTGAATGCCATCGTGATGCTTCCAGCCCAACGATGCATTGAGATTTAAATTCCTCCCCTATTCAGGAGCATTGAACTCCTAACCCCCGTGTGAATGTGTTGTAATGCCTTCTTTCGTGTGCGTGTGTGTATGGGGAGAACATTGTGCTCAGGTACGAGGGTGGTAGAGGAGGCCACGTCATGGAGGAGCGGGCTTCGTGCACATAGCTGTGTTAATCCTCTCTGAGGAAATGGATGCACCAGAAGGAAAAAGCTTAAGCTTTTTCCTTCTGGTGCAGCTTACATGCGCTATGTTTGTTTCCAAGTGCATAGCGATAATGATGCCACCACAGGAAAAGGGGTCACTCGTTGGTGTCATTAGTTCCGGGTGTCTGCCTCTCTGGTCCACGGGTGAGATCTCTCAGCTGACGGGGGATTCGTTCCCATGAAAAGGCATTCTTTGTGGGACTCCCATTGAACACCCCCGTACCCCCCGTCCCCTCCGCCCCTAAACATGTCCCCTCTCTCTCTCCCTGAAAACAAGGACGGAAAAGGAGGGCTGGTTGGCATTGCAATCAGCACACAACAGTGACATCAGACAGCTTTGGGAAAGGGGGTGCTTACAGTCAGAGGAACACTAACATGCGAGTAAAGCTAGCTACAGCATCTCGCTTCCTGCTTTCATGATGACCCAGCATGTTGATTTAACACAGGCCCTTTTTTAAATAATTGCAGTGTAGTGGGGGGAACATAATTATTAATTTGACTATGATAGAATGACATTTAAAAGGGAAGTTACTTGAACTAAATAGTTTTACTTGATTGCGGTTGCGTCATCACGGTGACGCAACCTCAAGCCGATGTCCTCTCAGGCACGTGGCCGACTAGACGCAAACGACTGTGAAAGAATCATCTATTTCAGAGGAGGAATTGACACTGATATTTGTTAGCAGTGGTGGGCCACAGATCTCAATCTCCATGGTGACCATTGGACTGAATACTAATAAAGACATTAAAGTGTCCCTGTTGGCCTCTAATTCCCTTCTGCTCACAGGTGGGGAAGTGATTCCAATTCCAACTTAATAGTAATTTCTTGTTTAGGCCGGATATTGAGCTCTTGTCACCGGTGACAAAAAGTCCAACACGTATCAGTTTTTCTCTGACTGTCACAATGACAGATTTGATGCTGTTGTAGTTGTCGCTGATTCAAAGCGGGAGGGAGTCGTTCACCTGACATAGTGTCAAATTAACGAGTGGACGGGGCTACAAAGAGATTACTGAGTGGAGCAGGAAAAAAAATCACGAGGATTTGAAGAGCACTTTGTTGCCACCTCCCTCTGAAATCATCAATATTTAATTAAACCACGATGCTCTTGAGCATTCCACAATCCAGGAGCTCGTCACACTTAATTGCTGAAATGAATCAGATGGACTGTACCTAAAATGAACCTAAAAAATGTCTCTAGAAAAAGTACAGAAAGTCTCAAAATATCTTTTTGGGGTTTGGATTATGGAATATTGGGGGAATTGCGTCCCATGTGACAGCAAAAAATGACCGCCGCTATTCCGTGCCGCTTTGAGATCATACTGATGCACTGCAGCTCAACAGAATAACATTTTCCCAGCCATATATGTCATGTTCTGCCCTGAGGAGTGGCCTTGCTTTCCTTCCCTTCGTGAAGATCTTTTTTTATCCGGGGGCGGTTTAAATCATTCAGAGGGGTCCGGGAACACACCAACAGAGGCAGCTGCTCGTGCAGGAGTCTACTGAGCGTCAAGCTCCAGGGAGTTTTTTTCCGCTCGGTTTCTACTGCCCCTCTAATTTAAAATGAGGGATAGAACTGATGGGCTGCTTCATATATTTGACACTAGCAAGAACATTTACAGTTCTTCTAAACTTGTGCCTGCTTTTTTTGTGGTTTTCGGCCCTTATTTCTTTCTGATATGCTGACATCGTTCTCACCAAGGTGCTAAGATCCGAGAGTGTGTCAGCGAGGAAGACCAATACATTAGTTTAGAACTATAACAGAAACAAAATATATACATGTTGTCCATTACCTACTTGGCTACGGGCGAATAACTGAAGAAATGATCACATTACCTTAACTACTGTAATGGTAATTCACAGATGTTGCATACTATTCCAGAACCTGTGACCTATCACTTTAATGGCTCATTTACCCAGACTATGTGCAATAAATGGGAAGAAACCCGGAAATTTTAGCTTTTAGTGAAGGGTGAGATTTTATGTGCATTTGTAAAATGTAAAAAATACATTTTGGTCAAAGCCATTCTCCTGTTTTTACTACAGCAGCTAGTTTAGTGCTAGTCACAAAGAAAAGCATTTTTGGTCACCTTAAAGCAATTTTTTTTTCATTTTGTGACCTTTGAATAAGATTCTTATGTATTTAAGCAATAATAATAATCATAAAAACTGAAATGTCAATTAACGGTTGTGCAAAATCTAACCTGTTACTTTGAGTGCACATACATATATGGAACGCTCGGGTAAATGTGAACAGGTACTGTACATTATCGCTCAATAATGCACACCCCGTGACTCACTCTTAACCTATCAGAACGCTGGATTTCATCTACCCATATTATAATTATAATATATATAAATACTGAGCAGGTCGCTATGTTTCTTCAAAAGCCCAACAATGAACAGACCAAACACTGGCCTCATAGGGCCAATCAATCTCCCTGTGGTGAAAATCACAAAAATAAGATTTTAATAAGAAGTTTGATTGACTTATCACCATGATATCTTTGCCACTAACTAAAGTTCAGGCATGCATGAAAAAACAAACGTATGGACCACCTCTCTTGTGAGGATAAAGTGCACGTGGGCATTGAGCAGCACAAATGTTGCTGCCAGGCAGGCAGGAAAGCGTGTTGTGTTTTCTGACAGGCATGTGGTCAAAGGCTTTAGGATCTCAAACTTGGGATTCAACCATGTGGCAGGTACTCAGTGCTATCTATTGAACCCAGGTATCAATGCCTGGCACTGACCCACTTGTGTCAGGATAGAGCCCCACAAGGCCCTTAAAATTCATCAGCTCCCCTTAAAATGGCGAGGTCATGTGTGTCCTCTGATATTCCCTCCTCAGCAGTGGCTCCACTTCCACTTGTTTGAGGAGAGCAAAGAGATATGTAATTTCCCTCTGAAGACATATAGTCCCCATGTACACCCACAAGTGTACAATTCCATTAAAGTATCTTATTGAATTATTGTGTAAAAAGAGTTTGGGGCATGGTAATAATGCATAGGCACTATTGTTAGTTATGAGCGATTCACTTTCAAAAAGATAATGATGAATTTACATCCGGGATTGATATGGTAGTGTACAAAGACCTCAGGGCTTGTCAGAGCTTATTGTTATTGCTTTCCGTTTTCTTGCTCGTGTTTGATGAGGGCTATTCACTCGGTCATTAAAGAACAATCTGTGTTTTGTTGATTATGTCGTTTAAAATGGCACTTTCCCTTATCTGCGCACTGCAGTAATTGAGGATCCAGCTGTGATGGCAGCCGTCTGACCAATATATCAACCCTACCAATATTCCCAGAACCGAGGTTACTGCCTTAACCTCTTTTTATTCCCTGGAAAAGCTTTGAATCTGGATCAGCTAAAAAGCAGCAGCAAGAAGAAAAGTCTTCGATCCTAATTTGGAGCAGGTGGGTCTCAGCCTGCAGCTTTGTTGGAGTTTGTTCCAGATATTTCGAGCAGAAAAACTGAAAGCATCTCCACCACGTTCGGCTCCGACTCTGGGAGCAGAGAGGAGAACGTTCCAGACGGCCTTAGGGGTCGGCATGGTAGCAGCAGGTCAGACATGTATTTTGGCCCCTAAACTATTTCTATTGAGTACAGCAGGATTTTCAAATTCTTTGTTGGAGAGGAAGCCAGTGTAAAGACCTCAGAACTGGAGTGATGTGATCCACTTTCCTTAGTGAGGACTCGGGCTGCCCCCCAAAGTTGTAAACCTACGCGAAACACTGTATATATAATAGATACATAGAGTAGAACAGGACCAGACACTCCTGGCAGATGTTGTACTTCCTGCGCCAGCTGAGGGTTTCTTTGTGATGGTGTCAATGTTGAAGGTCCACTTCAAGTTTTGGGAGATTGTGGATCTCAGAAACGTGAAGGTCTCCACAGCAGACACAGTGCTGTTGAGTACGGTTAGGGGCGAGGGAGTGGCAATGTTTGGGGCGCTCCTCCTAATGTCCGCTGTCATGTCTACAGTTTTGAGCTTATTCGGCTGCACCTTGCTCTGACCACACCAGAGGACCAGCCAGTCACCTTTAATCCTACGCTCTATCCATCCATCCATCCATCCATTGTCAAACCGCTTATCCTGCACGCAGGGTCCCGGGGGGGCTGGAGTCCATCCCAGCCAACTTCGGGCGATAGACAGGGTACATCCTGGATTGGTCGCCAGCCAATCGCAGGGCTAACACAGAGACATACAACCATTCACACTCACATCCACACACCTACGGGCAATTTAGAGTTACCAATCAACCTGATCCCCAGAGCATGTCTTTGGACTGTGGGAGGAAGCCGGAGAACCCGCAGAGAACCCACGCAGACACGGGGAGAACATGCAGACTCCACACAGAAAGGCCACTGGGCAGAGTCGAACCCAGGACCTTCTTGCTGTGAGGCGACAGTGCTAAGCACCACGCCACCGTGCCTCCTACGCTCTAGTCAACCCTAAATCTCCTGGGCTGATTGTCCTTCCTTCAGGCAGGACAACAGCCTATCCAGTATCCCACAGTCATGCATACATGTTTTTCTTTAACTATTGCATATTTTCAGCGCGTTGCTTATGAAATGGCATCTTTCTTACTAATGAGACTGACCATTTGAATGAAGTGTTTGTAATTTTAATAAGACACAGTTTTCTTTCTCAGAGAAGAGCGAGATTTAGCTGTTCTTTTTTTTCAGTGTTTTCGGGCACTGTATCCGAATGATTTTCACCAACAGTTTTTATTTCTCCAATTCTTACCAGCTCGTCCATTTCTATTTGCACTTTGACAACACACACCAACAACACACTGGAGTGATTATAGTAGGCATGTTGGCATTTTAAAGTTTACTCTGTGAACCAACAATATTTGATGAAAATAGGGTGAAATGTGTCTGATAAGACAGAGTTAATAAATCCACACCAGCTGCAGGATTGCCGCGCTTCAGTTGACTCAACCTTTGACCTCCCTTTGTAGAGATGCCAGCCGCAACATATATTCAGTGCCGTAGTCACTAGTCTTTTCACTGCTAGAAAACCAACCAAACTAGAACAAAGAAATCAAGACGCTTTTGATTTGTTTGGCTTGTGATGTAATTTCACAATTTTCCTGGATCATTTGAATGCATGAAACCAGAGCCAGTGCACTAAAGTTTGGATGTCTTTGCAGTACAAATGAGTGTCTAACCTGAGAACATACAGTAAGGCCTGGAGGACGTGTGAGGGAACGACTCCCATTTCACTTCAGATAGATGGGATTGAATTTCACACAAGCACTTATGTGGAACATGGAAGGGTAGGATTGCATCTGAGATCAAATACACGTGTACCATAAGTAGCATGTAATCAGCTAGATTCCACAAGGTTGAGTCTCACTTAAGCGTAAAAAATAACTAAATCCATTTTTTAATTGGGTCTGTTATGTCTGCACTTTGCTGCACAGTGTACTGCATCTTATAGTGTTTGATTTCCCACGGTTTCTTCAGAAATTATGAGGTCACTTAAACATATTTAGAAAGTTCCCTTCCTTCACAATAAATGCAGGTAATTTTTGCATGATTCCTGAAAAATTTGTAAAACAAAAAAGTCATACAATGATATATAAGAAAAAATAACTTAATGCAATAGACCTCCCTCTGTTATTGCCAAAATCAAATGGGTTTGAGACCAATGCTCAGCAGTCACATTGAAAACCTGGAGAGAGAGGAGATCATTTCCTTCTCTGGGATCGATAAAGGTGGATCTCATCTTACTCTATCAGATCCCGACTCATTGCATTTCATGAAAACAGATGTTACCAGACCTTGACGGCTGGCCGAATTAAGCAAGTTGTGACTAATGATGCTGCGTATGAGGTCGTGGGATCTTTAAAAAAAACACACACACTGGAGGTGTGCTTTCCACTCTCTGAACTCAGAGCAAAATCTGGCCTCCTCAAATAATTATTATACTAATATTATATAATATTATTTTTATATTATTATAATAATTAAGGAAGTTAATCAATCAATCAATCAATCAATCATCAAAAAGGTTTCTTTAGGTTGAAGTGGATGTGACCTTTGGACTTGAGGTCACACCAGCACAAATCCCTGTGCAATTTAGGAAATATGGTGGAGGCCATTTTATTGTGAACAGCTAACTCAGCGTAAACAAATTTCAGGGATTAATGAAAAAACAAACAAAAACAGTAAAAATTTTCCATCTCCAGTTTTTGCTTAAAGATTCTGGTATTTGGCAACGGTCAACAGTCTTCATAAAAAATGATTTATATTGCTAAAAACAGTTCCAGTTTAAAATAGGTCTATACGTGCTGACGTGACAATATCTTTTGGATGTTATTTTTACCTACTGTAAATGGATTACTCAAATCTACTGTAAATAGTGAAACCCTTTATTCTTAAATCAAAGTGATACCTCACCTTCAAAATTCAAATGATACATTATACACCTCTATACTAATATGTACAGTATACCTCACTCATATGTGTATAAATTCCTTTTTGTTTGAAAGCCTACTTTCCTAAAATTTGGGATTTGAATTCTCATACTCGGTCAATATTCTGATCCTCATGTGTATGCGACAGTGAGATATCAGAGAGTCACTAAAATGTGAGAGCTAGGTCCTTCGGTAGGGTTTATTAGTAAGGAGAGGAGTGCAGGGACATTGTTGCTGATAAAAAGAGATTCAGGAGATTTGAAAGGGGCCGAGCTGTGTGTACGGAGAGAGGAAGACTTAAATATGAGAATATTTACTCACTTTGCATGCAATGTGCAAAGGGAACAAATATTTTCATGGGTTGATGATCTCATCTCTGCTTGACTGCAGCAAGCTCTCGCCATTTCCTTATTCGATACTTTTACAAGAAAGATGTTTACACCATGGTTACGCATTCTTCTGTTCTCGTGTCCCTGTGACCCGTTTTCTCAATTAGCTTTTTAGTATTGAGAAGTTGGTGCTTGGCTAACATTACACAGCTCAGCAAACCAATCACAATTTAGCAATATTTAAATCACAATCTGATGAGAGCTGCAGGGTTGTTTGCATGTGTTGTTTGGGAAATCACAAGTACGTTTCTAATCGTAGTCTACCAAAATCCATGCATGAAGGTGGAAAGGTTGGATAGGGGTGGATGGGTCAAACTAACTTTCACCCAGGAGACAGCCGTTTGTGTCTCGTTTTGAACAAAATATCCAAGTAAATAACTAAACAAACTTATTATAAGCCAAACCAGCATGTTTTTACAGAACCTGACCAAGAAGTTGCTTAAATGTAATGACGTTATTTTGTTGCATTTTTATTGTGTCTCAATATAAAACCGCTAAACACAATTTCGAAATTACCTTAAACCATTAAACTGTCAATATGTTTTGCTAGAACGTAATGGAGAATTCAACTTAGTTGTATGACATTTAGTCAGAGACAAGGTCAGTTCCCTCCCACCAGCTGATGTTTTGAGGGTTGATCTCTTAATAAATTATGCTGATTCTTAATTGTTAATTGTTAATGCGCTGCACTCGTGTAACTGTTTTCTCTTTGTTTTTCCCGCCATCCGTCTGTAGACATGGGAGTGCTCATGTCAAAGAAGCAGCAGGTGGAGAAGGTGCAGAAATGCAACGCTGTCGTCTCTGCCTTCCAGGCGGGCATTAAGGAACGCCCTGCTCCACCCAAACCAGCAGACGAAGAGGTGGAGGAGGGCGACGGCCCTGCTGAATCCTCAGCCACGCCTGACCAGAAGAACGCAGACGAGGCGGAGGAGGAGGAAACGGACAATAACGCAGACCCGTCGACCTCAGCGTCAGCCAGGGACGAGTGCAAGGTCAACCAGGAGAGTTGGTCGAGGTTACGTGACGGGAAAGGGGTGGAGCCTGAGGATCTTGATAAGAGCCATCAGCTCACGCCTCCGGCTTTCGTGCGGCCCAAAAGGGAAGCCGACGATGACCAGCCTGTCGAGGTGGAGCTGTTAAAAAAAGAGCAGGTGTGAAATAAAGGTCAAAATAGAGCGGTGCGATGGTCAGTAGTGTAAAAGAAAAGAAAATACCCTCTACTTTGACAAACAACACAGGCTATGTATCTCCAACTCCTGGGATTAAAGAGATGTCTGCAAGATGTCGTGGGATCTCCATGGCAACAGCAGCACATTATGTCTTCTCCTCCCTTAACTTAGATATAATGAGGAAGCAGTTCAGCCAGGCTGTAAAGCCACTCTCAACCTTGTCTAAACACCCTCATTGAAGGTGATAAAGAGCTAGTGAAAATTTTTGTTATATCGATGCGCTGTTGTTTCGTGTGAGGGCTCTTCACCGGGCATATCGTGGGCGAGCCGCTTTGGCTGTGGTTTAGAGAGGTGACCACGGCCAGGGTGACGCAGACCGGGGGGGTGGAGTTTACGGGTTCACTTACACCATCAGGTAAACATTGCCTGGCGGCTTGCTGTACTGAGAATGTAGCACTTTAACAAGAGGTGCAGAGTTATAAGTGTCCACCTCGCAGTAATAATAGATATGTACGTTGCGAGTTTGAAAAGCGGAAACCGAATGCCAATGGTATCTAGACGACAACAAGTAAATCAATGTTATTATGTTTTTTTTGCTGGGCTAGTATGGCAATGACTAGATTCTGCTTTTTCATCCGCCACATTGACAGTTATGTTCAAATAGCAGCCGCCACCTTATTTAATTGTTTCACATACGTTGAACCTCCAGGTTTTAGATTTTGGAGACACATTTTGTTCTCAAATGAGCTTCCTGCCCCATGCTATCCAGTGACGTAGCGTCACTGAATTTTAGACATCTTAGACGTTGACGAATGACTTTCCTTACCAGTTTTTGTCCCTATAGCGGCATCCCAGATCTCATTTTACACTGACTTTATTGCAAAGAGTTTGTTGATGCAAACGGAGTCATTAGGTCACAAGAGGTGGACCGTAACAAGAATATAAGCTGTGACAAGGGCTCATCTGTGATGTGTCTGCGGGCGTGAAGCTGCTTCAGAGGCTCTGAAATAGAGATAAAAAAGGAGGAGCGTGGAAGCTGCCTGACAATGTCTCAGTGTGATGCACAGTCAGGCTTTTGGCTGTCATTTCCCCTGCCTTTACAGCTGGTCGTATTCCGGGCATTAAATGCAGCCCACATATAGGTTGGAGACCTGAACTGTCAATGAACACATGTTTCATCGACAGTTTTTTCTTTCCCATGTCTAAGGCACTGCAGGGTAAATCATCTACTCAAAGAACGCAAACTGCTATTACATTTTACAATAACTGACGGACCAATGCCTAATCCTCTCAACCAGCCTTTTTTTCAGAGCTTTGATGCAGGGCTTGTGGTTGTGTGTTTAAAATTTGCAGATTCAACATCACAAATCAAGTTTGCATGAAAAATGTTCAGGTAACCCACGCGATCTGTCTTAATTTTCTACCTCAGTCGCCAAATGATGAGATATGCGACGTGTGTGAGGTGTGGACGGCCGATGACCTCTATCCCTGCAGGATCTGCACTCGGATGTTCCACGACGGCTGCCTGAGGGAGCTGGGCTACCTGCGAGAAGAGGCCCTGCAGGAGATGAAAGATACGGCTCACACTGTCACCGGCTGGAGCTGCTACTACTGTGTGAGTGTTTTTGTGGAGGCCATTTTATTGCTTCTCTCTTGCAAGACAAACATGAGGAGGGGAGGATTTTAGGCCAAACGTGAAACCCCTAGTTTCCGGTTACTTTGTGTGAATACATCTACAATAAAACAAAAAGTAAATCCTTCAAAGTGAAACCAGAGGGCTGTTTTTGTGATTTACAGTAATTAAACTAAATATATAGAAATATATATAAATAACTTATATAACTGTTATCCTAGTTTAATCAGTTAGTTAGAGGGAAGCCAATTCCTAAGTGAAATGACCAGGACCGATCATGACATTCAGAAGTGCTATCCTATTTCATTGATACAGTGTTAGCCTGTTATTAATTGTTCAACAACGACAAACTGCTGTGAAATCTCAACTGACAAAGACTCCACATCTGACGGACACGTGATCTCAAACAGCTTTATGCTGTAGCTTCTTGAGCTAACGGTGGCTACAAGGACCGTTGACCTACATCCTGCAATCCTGAATGTGCACATCCACAGCTTTTATGTGGAGAGCATATAAATCATGCAACTTACAAGCAACATTTCATCATGTCATGGCGAGAAACCAACAGGTATGACTTTGATCACGTACAGGTGACAACACAAAGTAGCTGCAAATGAGTACATTTGCCAGCGGCTAGTGAAATCAACAGTTGATGAATAATTTCACCTTCTGAAATTGTGAATTGTCTTTTAAAATATGTGAAAATTGTCACATACTGTCAGGGATGCGTGGGGGAGGCAGGACTCAAACGCAGACTTCTCGGAAAACAAAAGACTTTAATAGTCAAAAGGCAAAATCAAAAGGCCAAGGGGCAAAAACACACGAACCAGGGGGAAAAACAGCAGGCGGGAAACTACGGACATCCGCGACAATAGACAATGACGCGACAAGTGACACAAGAGACACACTGCTTAAATACACAAGGGAGGTGCAGGTGATTGGACACAGGTGGAAACTATTAGACGATCACAGGGGATGACGGGACAAGGCAGGAAGTGAAGTTACCCGGGGACACGAGTGGCAGAAAACTACAAAATACAACAGGAAGTGAACCACAGCGTGACAGTACCCCCCCCCCTTAAGGGCCGAATTCCAGACGGCTCACACTAGAGCGGACAAGGGGTGGGGGGGAGGGAAACCCGAGATGTTGGTCGGACCACCCGGGAAACTCTGGCGGTCGGCCCGGCGGGCGGCCAGACGACCGGGGAGCTTCTGGGGGACACAGGTGGAAACTATTAGGCGATCACAGGGGATGACGGGACAAGGCAGGAAGTGAAGTTACCCGGGGACACGAGTGGCAGAAAACTACAAAATACAACAGGAAGTGAACCACACCGTGACACATACAGAACATTCCAAAAACTTTTTAGAAAGGTGTATGTCGTGTATTTCCAATTACACTGCTTGTTCAATGCTACTTAGCTTTAAACTATGCCGTGTCAGTGATGGAATGTCTTTATTTGCATAGTGTCTCTGCAAAATAAATGTTTGTATTCAAAGGAAAGGTTTAGGCAAAAGAACCTCTTGGTCAGGTTGAAGAGTACATCATAGTTGCCGTTGAGTCACGGGACTCTGACAAGAATGGCAGCTTTATCATGTCATGTTTTTATTTAATTCAACTGGAGGTCAGATGAAGAGTTTTTTTTTTTTTTAAACACTAAAACAAACCCAGTACTCCAACAGATCTCGAGTGGCAGTCAAGAGGCACAATGCAATCTCTCTTAATTTGAACGCAAACGGCTAAAGAGACACTTTTGCAAAAGGACCCTTTAGGGTGGTGGGGGCTTTTGCTGTCTCTCACCAGCCCATGAGAGGCTGAATCCCTTGCCCAAGTCGTGTATTCACACAATCAGAGAGAGGACAGTGAAAAGTGCTTTTTCTATGGCTCTTCCTCCACTGTGTGTGAGGACCGGGGAATGCAAGGTGGAGATTCAGCAAGGGAAAGAGAGAGACGTTACCGCTTTTTTGTTTTTAAGCACATGCCAGTCATCTGTTACAAATTCCCAGCTGCCCTTCTTCTGTGGCATCGACATTTCATTTCACACATGGGAGTGGAGACTTGGTGGATGGACTGAGTTTCCTTGAAGGTGTATTTAGAGTCTTCCTTCACTTTCTGCTAGCCTGGAAGGGATCAGGTCCAAACAACATGGAGCAACATAAGCATTTCGTCCTATTTATGATTAAATAGCTACTTTCAGTTATGCAAATCCATCAGAGCATTTTCCATTTAACAGTGCAGCTGGAAATGTGTGAGTGCTGTTCGCTCAACAGTGAGCTGAAAGGATCCACATGCATGAGAACTGCAATGTTGGGCTCTTATTTAATGATCCCATTCATTCATCTTAATAAAAAACTGATTTTAGAGAATTTCTTTTTTTACTTCCTGCTCTGGCACTGAGCCTTTTTTAAACTGTTTGAACACACAAACAATGCTGTCATTTTTTCATCTGATATGGCTATATTTGCAAGCTGCCAGTTTAAGATTAGAATGTGTTGCTATTATTACACTTTCTGTCCCCCTATGGGGCCTTTTGTGTCATTTTTTCCCATGCTGTCAGTAGATGCTGTATAAAGCCTAAATCACTTAACATGTAGCTTTTTCATTTGAATGGAAATTAGACAGACCGAACAAATGTAATAATAACGAATGGCCAGTTCCATAGTTCTGCAGATGGTCGATGTTATTGGGGGTAACGCTTGATGAGCCTAACAACTTTGAATATTGGAAAGAATTTCAAGATATTCAAAATTATGCTCATTTGTTTGCTTACTTATTGATTCCCAATCCCATTGTTGGAGTGATGGATTAGGTTAATCAACAGATTGAGAATTAATGTGGTACACTGAGCACTGGGGTAAATAAAAAACAGCAGTAATGCAAAGGTATACAGCACATGTTTTGAATATGAAACACTATCCAAAACATTTGCCTGCCTCAGTTTTCCTTGAGAATGGAGGAGTTGCCATCTTCTTCCAAGACCTTTCATTCCCCTGCACATGCTTGTCTTTGTCCCATCAGGAAGAATGTATGGAATGAGGGCCACTTTATCCCAGGTGGCATCAACCTCCCCCGTCATTTGGAGCCAATTACGGGTCAAGGGCTCTTTGACAAACTACGCAGATCGAATCAAACAAATGTCCCCTCTCGAGGAACAACTTCACACTGTCTTCTTTGGAGTGGATTCACATTGCAGCAGGGACTTTAGTCCACAAAGGCATTTTAAAGGTTTACTTCTTAAAGTCAGGAAATGAAAGTCCAAGAACATAGTGGAACGAGCTTCAAGCTCACAGCTCAGAAAAGTAAATTACATATTTGAAGCTTGTGAACTGGTGTGGCTGGAGGCCTATGAAGGATCAGGTGCTGCATTGAGTGAATCCCCCTCAGGCCCGGTTGTCTCCATGACAGTATCCGTACAGGGCTTTTGAATGGCTTGGGTGATAGTACAAAACCCTGCCAAACTGCTGAGAGCAGCCTCTAGAGAATGGGCACATCCGATGGGGCAGAAAGCCCGGAGGGTCTTTTTGTCCATTGAGAAAAAACAACAGCTGTTCTGTCAGCTCTGTCCGCTGAGACGCTTTGAATCAACGATCCGTTCAAAAGACACATAGCAACATTTTAGCGAGGATAAAGCAGCCTCAAATGCATACTTTTAGTGTTCAGAAAATGCAAATGTTATTCTGGTTCATTTTTTACTTTTCCTTGATTTGAATGGCCAGGAAATTTGGATCAATCACACTCGGTAGTACACAAATGTGTACACAAATGAAGAAAGAACTGAAGGACAAATATAAGTGACCAATTTTATTTTTCCATTTGATTCCGACATCCCTTAAAACATCAAGTTAGTGAAGATTCACCACAAACATGCAGCACCCAGACAAGACTGGCTCGAATCAAAGGCGGTTTAAATAAATAAATATGAATAATTAGCCAAACGCAGTGCACACACAGTTGTGATCTGTAAACATTGCCGACAGAGGGGCAGCGAGGTTCCGGCAGCTAATGTGCTCTTCACGACACGCTGAGGAAATGCAGGCGCATGTCACACCTGCGCCTGCATTTCCTGCAAGTTTCTGATAATCAGTCCATGATCTCGGGCCAACATGGGCGGGGGGGCGGTCGGGGCATGGTACGACTGGTTGGTGTTTTGGTCAATTATATTCTATTTCTATAGTGTAATAATTGCCAGTTAACTGACATTTCTGCGTTTCACCCAAATTGGCCATCTCCTTTAAATTGATTTTTTTTTTTCATTTGTGTTTGAAGGGTGGATAACTCAAAGACCCAAAAACATTGTGTTAGAAAGTTGTCAATCACCAGGTAGCCCTGCATACTCTCCTGTATTGTAGAGATTGAGACCATAAACAGATGTTTAAAATGTCTACTTAAGTAATAAATCAAGTGAGAAGTAGGGTCCTTTTCTTATTGACGTCTATGAAATCAGAGTTCTTAAGTAGTTGCCACCTAATGGTTATTAGAAAGACTGACAATTTGGGACACTGCTGCATTAACTCGGAGGTCATGTCACTCTGCACCTGCTTTTCTCTCAAGCTTTCTTTTACCAATCATACCCCTATGAGAGAGTGAGAGATAAATCACCTGAGAAAGTATGTGCCGAGATGGATTCAAAATCCTGTTGCTTCTTACGGAAGGCCCATCTGGGACACACTTTTCTTGTGTCATTTTGTGCCCTCCTCTAACCCTTATCTGTAGGACAATCTGAATCTACTACTGACAGAGGAAGAGATGTACAGCCTCATGGAGACCTTCAAGCAGTGCAAGATCATCCCAGGTGAGACAGCGAGTGGTAGAAAATACAGTATGCATTTCGCCCATGTTGGGCAGGAAGAAGTGGTACAGTGCATCACGTTCAGCAGTTTGGGAATCATTTGTTATTTCCACAGGCCTAATAGGGGAGGGGGCTGTTGGACATTGCGGTAATTTATTTCATAAAATAAAAGTGACTAAATGAACCATGCAACAGCCACAGAAAGGTTAGATAACTACATGTGTGTCTAAATCAAATGATATCTTTACTACCCAGAGCAACTCATAAGAATGCATCACTAGCAGAGCGTGAAATCTTTTTGGACCTGAAGAAAGCTGTTTGCAGCTTACGGATCTCTGGCTCTTTCTGACTCTTTGCAAACACAAGAATCAAGCAGGTTAATAAACCTGGCCGGCTTGTATCCTTACATGCTTGTTTCATGTCTAAAATTCCCTCTTTGTAGGGAATTTACTAATCACATAGTTAGATTTAGGGAAGGGGCATTTTTAATATTCACTGCATGCTGACGCTGAAAGGTGCTTCTGTGCTGTATCTAAAGCGTGGGGAGGGACAACAGGTTGGCTCTACGCACAAAGAGATGTAAAAGTCAAATTGACCAATATTGTTTGGTTTGTTAACCTCTTTTGCATGCATTCATGACAACAACAAATAGATAACACACACTGTGTACCGTAAATCCTTTTGTTTCCTTCAACTGTTTTTCAAGTTATTACATTATCTCTCCTCACCCCCCAAGGTGTAATACCAAATGTGTAATATTATTCCTCAGCTTGGATGCAAGTAAAACTGTGGGAGGTGGCCTGCCTTAGTTAGGTCTCGATAGGTTAATTGCATGTGGAAGACTGATGTGATGCATTGTCTCCTTGCCACTGCAGAGTCGTGCCTGGTGTCAGACGAGCTGCTGCAGTACCGGCACTTTGCATCCAAGCAGCAGTTCGATAAGGACCTGACTGATGAGCAGGAGGAGGAAGTCCTCGGCCAGTTTTCAGCGCTGGATCCAGAGAAGAAAGGTCACATCGAATGGTCCGACTTCCTTTACTTCGAGTCGCTGGTGGTTCTGCGAAAGTTTCGCTCAGAGGTACAGCAATATATTAAGAAACAAGTGGCATACATTCAAAATTTGACTGCAAAGCAAGGAATATTTGTGTGTGAGTGTGTGTGTGTCCTTTATCTCAGGAACCGCTAATCCAATGTAATTTACGCTTGGCGGGTTTACAGCTGGGATACCAAAGACAGTGCAGTGTTGAAGTTGGTTTAACTTGGACTCACAAATTAACTGTGTAGTAACTATGAACACATGTGTCATATAGAGATCAACATCTTTGGATGTTGCTTTTTTCTAGAACTCAATGGTGCGGCTGTTGACTGCCAAGGAGAGGAACAACGCCCGGTCAGTGTTCCTGGGTCTGGACCTGGATGAAGACGGCGTAATAACAAGAGCAGAATGCCGCCAGGCCCAGCAGTCCTGGTTCCACAAGCTCAACAAGGACTTGCAGTCTTGCAACGTGAGGTGAGCAAACCAAAGAGGTGTCGGTGTAGCCCAACAGATTAGTCTGAACCTTTTGACTAAGATGAAAGGCACACATCCTTTTTTTAATCTGGCTGCACTTTTTGGAGTGAGAATCTGTATGCCAACTATGGCTGGCAGAGGGACAAAAAAAAGGTTTGGCTGCTTAGCAAGTAGAGACAGTTAGAAAGAAGACTGCAAGAAAGATAACAAGCTGTCTTTTGTGCAAGAAAGATAACAAGCTGTCTTTTTTCCTCGTTCCATATTCTCCCTCCAGTCCACATAATCTCGGTGTGATTGCTTTGTGTGTGACAGAAATATATTAAATAGGAAATCAGTCTTCTGTGTTTTCAGCAAGTTCAGTTCTAATGCAGTGTTAAAACCTCATTGAACTCGGTTCAGAATTAAACACAAAAAAATCTAACTATTAACTATATCTCATATGTTTTATCATGTACAACTGAGGTTAGACATACTAATGAGCATAGAATGAGATCTTACGGGACTTTCTTAGTTCTGTGTTACATTTATCTGCATTCTTTTTTATTTTAAATGTTACTATTAAAACATTCAAAAAACTATTACCACCAATAGAAATAATAAGGGAAATTATTTTATTTTTTATATATTTATGGCAGTTTAGCTTTCAAACCACTATATATCCGATTCCTTTTTTAAATTGTAAGCAGCTACAATTAATTCTGTTCTGTTATAAAACTGTATCGAATGATAATGTAAAAAAGAGTTTATTTATTTATGTTTATTTTTGCTGTCTGGCTGCTACATTACTGCTTTGGTTCTGTCTCACTGGCACCATAATTAGACGGTGAACAAAATTAAGTATTTAGTGTGGTGGAAATTTGTGGATTAAGCCCTTGTGAGAAATCAAAAGTATCTTGAACTTGCTTTGTGATTAAGTATTTGTTACTAACTAGAACATAGAAAAATCATAAAGAATGCAGAAATCATCAACCGTAAGTACAGGCAGAAGTCAAATGACTACAATTCAGCTGAAAAGGGGCTGATGGTTCTTTCTCCCTCAGAGGAGCTAGAAGATCTGACCAGGTTTCTGGGGGAGAACAGGAGGTTTTGTAGACTTCAGGGAGGTGTGTGTTGTTTCAGCACAGGAGAGCCCCCCCCCTCCCCCCCTGCCATAGGAATGTACGGAAAAGTACCAGGCGACATAGGGGAGACACTGTGACCCTCCGTTAATGGGGCCGAGTCAATCAATAACATTTAGGAGATCAGTCAGGGCATGTATGGGTTCCATCGGTTGAACCTATTACTCCATCATCATCATGTCATATATTTTGTTGATCTACACTGGTCTACATTGACACAAAGACCTGAAATCACAACCTGAACCAATTAACTAATGTGTTTGGCCCAAAGCTCTTGGACATCCAAAGAAATGGGTACTCTACTAGGGATCTATACAGTCGCTTTCATTATTAAACCATTGCAGAGTAAATCTAATCCACATCCATTTGGATCAAGAACTCTAACTCATACAAGACTTGCAGGGCTCTTTTTCCACAGCTGTAGACTGTGCAGCCTTTTTGTGCAAAACAGAAACCTTATGTTGGCTTTAGAGACGGAGGAGGCCACTTCAACTGCAATCTGATGATTTAATCTTTTGTTTATAACTTTTCATCCCAGATGTCAACAGGGTACATAGTATCTCTACATCAAAACAGAAATAAAAGAAGTAAAGAACTTCCTGGCATTATACTTTCAGCAACGACTATATCTGGAGTCAGATATTTCAACAATCCTTTTCTGGAGTTTTTGCGCTAATCGCATTTATAATTCAACGCATCCTCTGGCTGTTTTTCCAAAACATAACCCACAGCCATGACAAGTATATTTACAAGTATCTGCTCCCCGTGGTCAGACACCACAAAACTTGGCTGGTCTCCTTCCTGTCGTTCTGAGCTGTAAATAGACACAAAGCTATTTCTCTGCTCCCCTGCAGCTCTCAGCTCAAACGCGTCACTGAAAAAATCAAAAGGGCTTTGATTCGCTCATTGTCTGCTTCAGAATGTAATAAATACTCACGCCAGCAACATGCTGACAGAGACATTGAACAGAGAAATTATAAATAATGTGTAGATTATATATAAATATAGATAGTTTCATATTAAAAGCACAAAGCTCCTGCATTTCCTTTGATAATGTTTTTTATTCAGCCACTCACTTGCAGACAGTCACCCACTAGTTTGATGCTGAATTCCAGCTTTTATAAATTCTAGTGTATTGGATTGAGGCAGTTTATTGCTTTTGCTGTGTGTACTTGAATTGTGATCTTTTGAAGCCTTTGGAAGAACACTCGTAGAGAGCTGTTGGCTCTTTTGTTTTGGCGTAGATATAATAAACTGGACTGTACTTGTATAGCACTTTTCTAGTCTTCTGACCACTCAAAGCGCTTCAACATCATTCACCCATTCATACACTGATGACAAGAGAAACATACACAGCACCACCTGCCCATCAGTAACTAACAGATAGATTGATTAAGCTTGTCCACCTGACATGGCCACATGGTGTGTACACAATATAAGAAACCCTGCAACTAGAACTACCTTTTTGTTCATAGCGGATCAAAGGAGAGACAGTATGACACAATCTGGTGCAACACCACCGCAAAGTAGTGCCTTGAAAAGGAATCAACTCTTGGACAAGGTCTGAAGAAATATTTAACATGTCCTTGCTCGATGGTTTTTCTACTGCATTATATTGTACATGTATAAGTGTGTAAAATAGACACACACATATATATATAATTATATACATATCTACATGTATATATTGATGTAAATGCAAAATTATGCTCCTTTATCAGTTTTAATACTTCCAGACAGACCTTATCAGAGTAGTAATGGAGGGAAATGAGCTCTCATGGACTCTAATGAGATCACATGTATTGTTTGTAATCAGAGTATGTGTGTGTGTGTGTGTGTGTGTGTTTGTGTATCAGTGGTTGAAAAAGTAAACGAACTACAAGTTCAAAAGTGTTACCACACATAATGTGACTCTCAAATATTACTACCCATGCTGCAAAATGAAACCTTCGATAAGGTTACTTCCATTCCTGCATATTCTAACTAATCCATTTGTAAAGCAAATGATATAGCATGCCCTCTTGGAATAGGGTGGAGTACAAGTATAACTCATAACAAAATTAAAGTACATGTTTTGAATGGAAGACGACATTCGTCTGTTGCTGTGTGTGAACTGCATTTGTGTTTGTGTGTGCACGTGCTTCTCGCTGCTTATAACCTTGTGCTTTCGAATCTCCTCTGCTGTACCATTACCGTTCCTCTCACCTATTCAACATGCGGCATACCCCACAGACTCATGGGACTCTGCTCTCCTCTGAATTGTGGGTGAGTGTGACTCAGCACTGCACGGCTTGTCTCCTTTTCCCACACATCCATGCCCTTGAGCACCTCGGCAAATCCACGGGTATATATAAAGTTTCATTCTGAAGTCAACCACTGGCACTTAAAATAAGAAGAAGTAGAAGAAGAAGAGTACTTTACAAAGATGGACGCATCCTTAAATGGAGTTTCACGAGCAGAGTGTGGGCCCTTTATACGATTATGCCGAGGCATTGATACGATCGAGGCTGGCATCTAATTACAGGGATCAAAAGAAAGCCTTTTGTTCTCGTCAGGGGAGCTTTGCTTTAAAAGCCTCACTTATTAACGTGAGAGGACAATGTGGGCTAAAGCGGTGCGAGTGCACACTGCGCACAGCGGGTCCACTTTTCACACAAGACGCCATCTCATTTGTGCTCATTAGAAGGAAAATCAAAAACTCTTTTGATCGCAGCATTACAAACCTTCAGAAGCTACTGTGTGATGGCCAAAATTGGGTTTACAAGGCAGCTATCGGTCACGTGGTTGATCAGAAGAGATTCTATCTGACTCTGATAGAAACTCATAACTCTTGAAACGTGATGTTCGCTCGCTCAAAGTCGTTTTGGCATTGGAAATAAAATCTAGATAAAGTACGCGTGTTTAATTAATAATAGTTATTGTATGCCTCAAAGTGTGGAAGAGACTTGGATCATTCTTTTGTGATTAAGGCAATATCAGGCCTGACCTAACATTGCTCTACTAACTAAATGTATTAAATAAATACTGCTGCAAATTAAGGAAGAGAACCTGTTCGTAGGCTCAGCTTTGCATCACTCCGTCTCCACACCAGGTGGTTCCTGCTCTGGTCTTTGTCGGCATGCCGCTCATAATGTGATCCAACCGAGCTTTTGATGGAAATTTATGGGAATTAAATGACTTTTCTACCAATTTCGACAAAGTGTATTGGTGGAGCAGCTCGCGCAGTCCAGAGAAGCTGTTAAAAATGGACCGAATTCTGTTGATTTCCATGCCTGATGACTGTGTAGAACTGATTATGTGTTTAAAATACAATTTATTGGGCTTTGAAACTTGAATGTCTGCTTCTGCCTTTAACCCATATTCTTTATAAAAAAAGAAAAGAATCTGGATTACGGATGCGTATCTGAAAATGTTCCAATAATCCACTAAAATAATTTCTTGTATGCTTGGTGTGCGTTTTCCTCACAAAAAAGCATCTCTCATATTCTTCTCTTTTTTTCAGAGCAAGGAAAAGTTGTATCTATTCACTGACTGTTCCTAGCCTTCTCTCTGACTGGTACTTTTCCGTCCTTTGCTGCAGCATCAGCCACGTTGGCCCCATGTGCGAGAGCAGTCCAGTCAGCTCCTGCAGTGAAAGGAGCAAGACTGATGACAGCAGGTTTGTCCTCTAGAAAGTAAAGTGTGTTCAGGAGTGTGTGTCATTCAGAATACAATCATTAGAAAAAACAGTCTGTGTATATGAAACAGAGGTAGTTGCCATGACGACACCCATTGCGTCTTTTTGCACTGCTCTAAGTTCTAAGACAAAAAGGAGGACAGTTCCATAGTAGCCATGCCCTGAAGCATACTCTGATTTGAATACTTCTTTCCCCACTAAAAGACCGCTGTGTGGACCACCACGACCTTCCTGCTTCAAGCTTCATAACTCATCACAAACCTTTGCGATAATGACAATTAATGCACTAGCGCTTCAGGCAGTGACTACAGGGAACCACTATTACAAAAAGTATATTTGTATTTGATGGGTTGATGCCCTGAGATGTCCTTTATAATATCAAACTCAATAAGCTTTTTCAAATTTTCCACCGATCTTGGACTGGACCAGTTGGACACGTGAGCCATGTCCTAAATATTTACTGTCCCTGTAGTTTCTCCCTCTGACCGGAAAACTGAGTTTTGCAAACTATTGGCTAGTGCAAAAAAGAATACTCTTGAGATATAAATTCGAAATGCTCCTAAATATACTAATAATACTGGCATATACCTTAATCGGTCCATACGGAAAACGCCGTACTTGGTGGACGATTCCCTTCATTGTCCAGCTATCGTCGAGCTAATAACCTTTTTTCTTTTACCCTTTAATCTGTTCATCCAACAGACCAGTGACCTGGGCTGACTTCCTAAAGGAGAGTGCCATCTATTTGTTGGCTGCACGACCCAATAGTTCTGCCATGCACATCCGTGTGCCTCTATAGTTCAGGATCCTCCACTGCACCCCAGCAAAGAGAGAGAGAGAGAGAGAGAGAGATCAGAACTGGATCAAGCACTGAGACACAGCGGATCAAGGCATCGATGGCACCTCTCCCTCCTCTGCGTCACCCCAAATCCCCACAACACCTGCAACAAGCCCCCGGCTGATTGACACGCCGCCCACATCACAGGTCCACAACTCCGACAATCGTGAGAGATAAAAGGATGTCCCACTCACGACTGCTAGTCGGATGATTCGTTGGAAGGAGAGCACCCAGGAGGCTCTCACTTGATTACATGACAAATACCCCCCAGCCTTTGGACCTCCACCTCCATAGCACACCTCTTTCTATGGGAGGACGTCTGGGAGACAGGCTGGTACTATTCTGAGTATTCATTCCCCCCGGCCTCATCGTGCGCTAATGATAGTACAATGGTGTCATTCACCATCAAAATTGTCATTCGCTCTACACGAGAGGCCCTTGCAAATTCATTATTGGTAGTGTTTGAAGTGGATTGATTTCTGGGATGAAGATTAACCAGACTAAGCCATTCTCTGAACGTATAGCAAAATGGGAATGAGAAGCTGCCCGCGTAGCTGAAGAACTACTATTCACGCTGGTAAAAAGATTATTATGCATAACAATTAAGCTGTATTTATTCCTGTATCCTCCGATGTATCCTCGGTTTATCCCCAGCCTCATCCAAGAGTCTATGTTCTTACCAAGTACTAACCGTGAAAAAAAAGGGGACGTGAACGTTAATAGAAGCTATCTCGGGCAAATGCTCTTTGTGCTTACTGCTATGCAGAGCATTTTGTTCCCGTCGCGCTCAGAGCGGAACTTTGACAAGGTGGGAACATCTTGTAGTGTCCTGGTTACCACTGTAGGAACGAGAGTGTGGATGAGTGAAATAATCACATAATCACTGTCAGGATGAATGCTGAAAGACTAGGACTAAGTCTAGCGCAAGCATCTGTCCTCTGGAAGCACTGTAAAAAAAAACACGGTAATGGCAAAACTTGTTTCGGATTCTATAATGTTACAGGTTATACAACAATTTAAAATGCAGATGAAAACTGTCGGTAGAATCACTGGAAACGTGCTGTAACCAGTTGAACTTCATGTATTGTTTATGCCATGTCCGGGGTTATGTCCTCGAAGTAAATAAAGTATGGTTAAGACATCAATCTGCGTTGTCTGAGGATTACGTTCCAGTGCTGAAATAAATGCAGGGCATTTGATCTCCTGGACAACCTTTGCTTTCTTTCTTCTCCTTTTTTTAAGCTTAAGAAAGATATATTTCCACGTTGATGTTTATTTCAATAGATAATCACTATTTGTATGACATCATTATTGGGACAAAATGAATGGGAATTTGTTATCACCCATTTTTTTCCTACATATGATGCTTGATTTACACACATATTACAATATACAGAGAATAAGATGTATCCAGACCACAACCTCTCAATTTGTTTACCACAACAAATGAATCCTTCTTTGTTTTTATGTAGAATGGGAAAACTGACTACGTCTGCCAAAGCATTCTAATTATACAGAAATGAAAGCTGAAAGCTTATTTCTGTTCTGTTTATTATTAATACATTTGGCAGGTCACAATGTTCTGTAATAATAAAACATAACAGATTCTCTTTTTTTATTCTTCTTTATTTATGATTTTTAGTTTACACTTCTTTGGTACATTTTAAAAACAGAACAAATCAGGCAAAAACTAGAAAACATCTTGTGATGAGATCATAACAGGCAAACCCCCTCAAAACTGTCCACAGGCAGACAAACCCACATTGAGGAATATAAACATCTGGTTAAAAACATTTCTGTGGTTTTGAGTACTTTCATCACATACATGCACATGTTAAAAACAACAACACGCCGTCATGGCTGGTAAATATACAAAGTCCAAAGATACATATGGACACAAAACAACTGATTGTTGGCTAGAGCAGTAGTTATTGGTAGTTTACACTGCTGTTGTACAGTCTGTAGCAGGTAATAAAGGATGTCCTGAGAGGCTCCATGTTACAGGTCATTTAGCTGACGCTTTTATCCAAAGCAAATTACATTACATTTTTAACTCTTGATGTACCTTTTGCCCAGGGAGCAATTAGGGGTTAGGTGTCTTGCTCAGGGACACTACGTCATGGGACATGGGGCAACCGGGGCTCGAACCACCAACTTGCAGTTCCCGGTGCACCCTCTCTACCCCTGCGCCACACCCTGTGGGATGATATGGTGGCTGAATGGGATTGATCTATTTCATCAAGAACATCCAGTTCAGTTGTCGTAGCATCGGCCATTTTTATAGCAGTCGCATTTGTCGCTAAGAACTTGCAAAGCAACTGGAAAACATTGAGACTTTATAATCAACTCCCAAAATCTGTTGCCATTAGCCTCCATTTCAGACGTGAGGAAAGAGATATTATTACATTAGAGGTTATTTAGCTGACACTTTTATCCAAAGCGACTTATATTGCATTTTTAACATGGCTTTTTACATTATTTGCCCGGGGAGCATTAAGGGATTAGGTGTCTTGCTCCGGGACACTTCGTCATGGGACATCGGGCAGCCAGGCCTCGAACCACCAACCTTGTGGTTCCCAGTGCACCCTCTCGACCCCTGCACCACGACGACCCATTTTATAGGTTTTTGTGCTTCAATATCACAGAGGACCTGTCACGCCATCACACATATCCACCATTTATCCACCATAAATAAAAAAATAAAAGCCTCAGCAAAGGATTAACTTCTTAAGCTTCAAAGTATTTGTTCACTTTTGTAGAGCAACAATCTGGAATCAGGAAACATTTATTACCAAAGTATGTCAGACATACAAGGAATTTATAGACAATGGAGAACAAGATAGATAAGACAACATAGTGCAAGAGGAATAAAATAAAATATAAGGCTATGTGTTAGAAAATAAGGTTATGGGTTAGTTTACAAATAAAGGATTTAAATTAAAAAAGTTAAAAATAAAGTGCACCAGCGAACAGATAGCCATACTCTATGTAATGGCCTCTTGTCCTTGGGACCAAAAAATCTTTAAATGTCAAAGGGCCACTGCTGCACCTTGTTTTGTTTCCTTTCATGCAGTAAGAAAGCGCGTTGTCCAGGCAATTTTTTCTTGTTGTTTCTCATTTATTTACAGAATCCACCAAACACATACAATAAAACTTGGCTGCCTTCGTATGCAGTGCTCTCGCTCACTGTCTTGCTGTCTCACTATCTATCACCCTCTCTGCACAGCAGATGACATGCTGCAACACAAAAAGACTTTAATAGTCCAAAAGACAACAAACGCAAAAGGCCAAAAACACACAGGAACCAGGGGAAAAACAGCAGGCGGGAACTACGAACATCCAGGACGATTGACAATGACGTGACAAGTGACACAAGAGACACAAGGCTTAAATACACAAGGGAGGTGCAGGTGATTGGACACAGGTGGAAACGATTAGACGATCACAGGGGATGACAGGACAAGGCAGGAAGTGAAGTTACCCGGGGACACGAGTGGCAAAAAACTACAAAATAAGACAGGAAGTGAACCACACCGTGACAATACCAAATTATAAAAAAATGGAAAATCCAGAAATCCATGTGTGTTTTAAATAAAAAATACATTTGCCACCAGTATTTTGTATTTTATTTTAATACATTTATTTAAGGGGTATTTCGCATCAAAATACATTTTGATGTATTTTTGGTCATCTCTGCGTGCAGTGGGGGGACATGCAGTGACTGTGGGTGAGTGGAGAGTACGGTCGTCCTCCAGAGGATCAGAGGATTGCCCGTTTGATCCCAGTTCCTGCTAACCCTGTGTCGATGTGTCCTTGGGCAAGACATTTGACCCCAATAATGATCCTTATGGTATTTTAGACATAGATATTCTAGAGTATGTAAGAGATTTTATAGATTTTTTTTGATATACAAAAGAAGGAAGAGACTCCTCCTCTCGTGACTGTTAGCACATTGTCCTAAAAAAGGAGAAGTTAAGTGGCAGTAGATTTTTTTGACATTTTTTGCTTGACTATCAGTCCTTACTCAAGTGAGTTGTTTGCGATGCAAATCGCTCTTGAAGTTGGGCGTGGGACTTGCGTGAGTTGCTAGTTACGTGACTCGTTTGTCCAGCATTGGTCACTTGCGGTTTAACTAGTCATGTTATGGCAACCACACTCTTTTCCTCAACCTGAATAAGGGCTTTGGTTTTTGTTTTGTGTATTGACAGGCTCGCTGACACGTTCCAAACTACCACTAAAGGGTTTGAGAGCCTCATAGTTTGAAGCTAAGAGCACTTGTCCATGTATGTTGGATGTCATAAGACATACAGTGAGTGGTTTGAAGATGTGTCTTTTGAGGATTTAGCCACTACAAAAAAGGCTTATTTAATATTTTCTTCTTCCTGGTTACGCCAGGAGTGCCTGGATGGCCTTCTTGTTTGTCTTTGCTAGCAGTCAGACAACGATAAAGGCTCTTATGCGTTGAAGCTAGTCTAATTGTGTATCTGTCAGTAAAACAAAACATAAAAAGGAAATGTTAAACTGCACAGTGAGAATGGGAGAGGGAACACATACAGTAGAAATAGAGAGAAAGACAAAGACAAAACAGGAAGACATAAACCGACACAAAGAATGTAAAAGTGTATGTGGGAGGGAATGATCTTATGTAATTGTTTCATAACTGATCAAGCGGTTTGGACCAGGCTAATTGGTGCATTAAATGCTGAGTCAAAGGGGAAACTTGAGCTCTAAATTAGTCCAAGGTTGTCCCACCCTAGTTCCCACACATGTCCGGGCTAATGAGAATTATTGTTAAAAGCCCTGTAACGTCACTGGGGATATTAAACTTTGGATCAAGTCTGTATGTCTCCAAACAAGATTTACAGGCTTGAAATAAAGGGTTGAAATAAAGCGAACTTGCCGGTTTGATTAAAGACCATGTTTTAAGAATTAAGAAATTAACTTATTCTGGGATTTCCTTTTTCTTTTCTTTTAAACCCTTGGAATCCTTTTTACAATATATTTTATACTTGCATGCACATGTAATGACAAGATTTATAGACAACTGTTTCTTTGATAAAAGAGCGAAATTTAACCTTCAACAGCGTTAACCTAATGAGTATTGATTGCATCACAAGACCAGAAAGTTATTATATTGTTTACAGTACAGTTTTAAACAAACATGTAACTCAGCTTCATTCGTGTGCATGACTTTGATGATGGAGGCTTCAGTTACAAGTTATACTTCAAATTCTATATTTACACGGTATGCAATCCAGGAGAAACAGCGTTACTCTGGCTGACCTGTTACACCAACAGGGGCAGTATAGCGTTTGTACAAGTCAAACATAAATTGTTTTGCTGCAAGAAATGCATAGTTAAATACTATTTTGATTAAGGCTTCATAGAAATTGCAGTACTCGAAATGTAAAAATATGTCGTTGCCGTTTTAATTTCAATACAAACCAATGAGCCTTGGTTATGCATAGGAAAAAGGAAGTCAGACGGTATTGTTATTGGTTTGCATAGTCTATAGCAAGGATGAATATTTTATTCCAGCACTTTTTATATTATTTATTGTTCCACAAAGTATGCATGAACACAAGCTTGTCAACTGTGTTGAATCATGCAAACAATTCCGGGTCTGCAGAAGACAAAAAGTGTCAGTGTGTGAGTCATCGCCTCCCCCTTACTATGTCTATTCCAAAGCAACCGAGTATAAAAGGTTATCTGGCTTGTTCTACTAGGAGTCTATGTGGGCCAGCTGCTGGCTGCTGCTGTGTGATGGCTTCTCTCAGCATGGACGAGTAGTGGTAAACAACAGTGGCAGTGTGGCCACGACTCTGGGGAAGCAGCGCTGGAATGAGGCCAAGGTGGATATTCGGTGTTGGCATGAAGAAGGAAGTTCTCTGAAATTATCTTGTTAATGATAATTAAACAGTAGTGTGATGGTTTAACAGACAGGAAGAGAGATAACTAAAAAAGGGCTTTAATCACATTGAATTGCACACGAGAAAAGACGGCTCTTGAAACCATGAGATGATCCGTGATCAAGGTTAATCCACTCGAGCCTCGGCCCTCGTCTGCCAACTGGTTTTCAACACGTCCAAAACTAACAATACCCCATGGCATCTCTCTAATCTATTCTTAGATCCACCTCCGTCCACAGGCGAAGACATCGCAGCCCACCTCCAACCAACAAGGCCAACTTCTCCCTTGGAGCCCACTCAGTCTCCTCGGCTGCTGGGGTGCCAAATACAGCCCAAGGACGTCTAACAGGCCACGTATTCCACTTTTAGGAAGCATTTAATATGATCAAGAAATTCTGATGTTCAGCCAAAACCCCCCCCGCCTATATTTTATGAAATAGGGAACGCTCTGATTAAGGTGCATGTATCGCTCCTCTGCTCTGTATCTATACAACAACATGAACACATCAATTATTTTCATCCACAACAACAGTCTTCTTGCTTTCACATGTCTGAATAATATTTCCTCGCAGATGAAAAGCCATCTGAAAAAATAAGCTGTTTTTTATGGGGCATGAAGGAGGTAAAAATGAATTTGCTGTAATTGAACATGGACTGACATCTGTGTTGTGTATTCGCCTGTGACAGCGTGCCCACAATTTGAGGCAGCCTCCGCCGCAACATTGGTGATAACAATGTTTTGCAGCATGTAGATTCTCCTGTTTTTAAATGTAATCAAACTTCCCTCCAGTTCACACATCTCTGCTGGACACATGTGTTCCCTCTCCCATTCTGCTGGACACATTTTTCTTTAATTAGCTCCTCATTTTATGCCAACTCCCCCCACCCCCATGTGTCTGCAGGATGTCGGATGGTGAAAGACAATTAGTGCAGTTGTGCCACAGTAGTGAGGGGACAAGATGAAAATACCCGGTTTCGACCTCTGCTACAGCGTTAACAAGACCCTGACTAAAGAAATACTGAAGGAGAAAGTGCTTAGTTTGTGACCCACACAAAAAGGAACAGGTTCTGCCTCCAATGTTCAGCACGTATTGCATGCCACCTCGAACACAGCCACAAGTTTAAAAATAACACATAAATAGGAGAATTGAAAAACAGGAGACATTTGGTGATTTTGCACAGGGCAATTTGTGACCACAGCAGCTGTGTGAAGTTCTGCACCGATTTAGGATCAGATTGTGCTGCTTGGTTTAAGGATTAGCAATGTGCTGCATCTTGTCATCTCTTAGGAGTAGGATGATTTAGGCAACACAGAGCTCAGGGGAAACAAAGTGGGGCTTTGAAGTTTCAAAGATAACTTATTAAAAGCTAATACTACAGCTAGACCATCGTTGTTAAAAGGTTACTTGAAGACCTCTTTGTTTGAACGGAGAGTGGGAGTCACTCACTGCAGGTGATTCATACCCAAACCATCTGGTGGTAAATGTCAAGAATGACACAAAGCTTTTCTTTTGGTAGCCTAGATTCAGTTGAGGGTACTGTCTCCATCTTGAATCAGTGGCATGACATTACAGTACAGATCCTAATATGAAAGAATCATTTCTCATTACTGTTGATATACGATGTAACATGCTATTTGTAGGTCTTGTAGTTATTTGTGCGTATTTACAGCCTATATATTCTGATGGCTTTGACCCAGAAATAATATAACTGGAGGGACAATTTTCCTCACTGTCCCCAATTTTTAGAAAGTGTGCACAGATAACCTATTTAAGATTAATTAACATTATTTTCAGGAGTTGTCTTTTATACATATCCCCTAAAATACAGGTTTTTACAGATATTTTGTGTAACCTACATTAGATGGTTACCCACTTTATGCATATATAGATCAGTCATTTCAGACTGTACATTTTTACTGTGCTCACGCTTCCATCTAGTGTTGAAAACATTGCATTACATCATATAGTAATTTTCATTAAAATATTAGAACAACCTACTCACACGTTATGCAAACATATGTATTATTTAAACAACAATGAGTGCATGTGAGCAGAATATTACGCATTATTGTGCGAGTATTCGGATTTTTCAAAGCGAGCGTACCCTGTTTTCTGCTCCAGTGCGCGTGTGCAAACCGGGGGGGCGGGTTTCTTTAGCACGACGCAATGTTGTGTTTTCTCCACTAAATAAATGGCTCGGATGCGCTAACGCGGACACCTACGACGCCTGTCAGGTGAACAGCAACACGCATGTTGAACCGCTGACGTTTGAACCGCTGTGTGACGTCAGCATGCACGGTTCGGGTCCTGAAGGACGTCACGCTGAGGCTAGCCGCTAACTACCGTTAGCTTCAGCACACCCTATGTAACGGTAACGTGACCTCTTATCGGTACTGTCGGACACACGTTACCGCCCGTCCAGTAAATACCGGCGGATCCAGCTGTTACTCCACAGACCTCAGTGATGGAGCGCGTGTCGTTGCGTGTCAGGTCTGCACACGGGCTAACGTGATGTTATCCTGGTGGCTAATTTGGGACTGAACGATAGAGAATTTGACGCGACGCGCTGCTTTAAGAAGTTAATGACGAGCTGCGCTCTATTCCATCCAATTCCTATCGTATCACTTTCGTATTTACAGATGGCTATGACTAGCTGGGACCTATTGGTTGGTCACCAACACGTTATCCAACACGTAAACTGTGGGACTAAAACACGGAATACAAATTTTGTTTTATCGACACATTAGTTCTCAAAGTAAAACAACTTAATCAACATTACCAAGCAATGCGACAATAACGGTGGTCGGAGAATACATTATTTTTAATAACCTTGTCTTATTGTTGTCACCTCATTACACAGAAGCACCAAAGTGAACTTACACCAAGTAGATCATTCTGAAAATAGGTAATCCATGGCTGTAAATGCAATACCGGCCATTTTATTTGTCGAAGTTATGTTCCCGTTGCAACCGGCAGTGCAGATCACTGCATTAAACAAGGGTGACCATGCGCCCTTTGAACAAAATGCTTCTGTTGAAATCTATTTAGTACACAAACAGTTTAGTACACAAACTGTTGGCTCCAGGCTCCAGGGTAGAGTGTCACACAACAACTAGCACATGTCCACTGCTGTTCAGTTCCCAGTAGCACAGTGTTTTATGAACATGCAGTGTGGTTATAAATCTACGTTGTGCACCACATTGTGAGTCCGTCAAGTCCCGTCTGTAGTTCTGACCTGCTGCTTGTGATGTGCAGCACGTTTGAGTTAACTCACTCTGCTGAAGCAAGTAGTAAATCATTCTAGATGGCAGCGTTTGCGCCTACAGTGTAAAAAAAGCCTCTCTTATTTGAGTGATGAGGTCTTATGAAGCTACTTGTGTTGACAGCAACTGTCAGGGATTAATTACCTTTCTTCTCGACTCAGTCTTCTTTGAGCTCCTTTTCTTGTTTTTCGCCCACAGTGACCTTGTGCCAGCCTAGAAGGAGAAACAGCCATGGGGAATACGAGCAGTGAGAGGGCTGCCATGGGCCACGGTGAGAAGGCTCAGAGGAGGGACAGCCGGGGTGCAAAGGAGGGAGGTGGGCCAAAAATCATCATGGACAGCCCCGAGGATGCAGATATTTTTCACAGCGAAGACATGAAGGTCAGTTTTGCTGCCTTCTCTGATACAGGTCACCTGTCTCTGTGACATGTCATGTCCATTTGGTCCCAAGTGAAATGATGGCGGTTACTTTAGGCTCCTTCACAGAAAGAGGAGTTCCTTGCCTGGCAGCACGATTTGGAAGTGGACGACAAAGGGCCAGCTCCAGACCGACAAACAGTCTTCCGCTGGACAGGTGATGGCAAGGAGGTCTATCTCTCTGGATCCTTCAACAACTGGGTCAACAAGATTCCTCTCATACGCAGGTGAATGCTTGTTTCACTCAAGGTCACTTTCACTCATTGTATTGTACCGGCAACCTGTTCAGTTATCCCCCAATCTCTGCGCAGGGGAATTCGATCCCAAAGCGCACGCCGGAAAATATCGGTGTCTCATACGAATGAAACCGCTGAATGGATACACCCAACTTTTTACTCCATCTCAGTTCCTGGCTGTTATTTAATAGTTAATCTTTAACTGTGTTCAATCAATTTGTGTTCCAACTGTCTCCCCTTGGTGTCAAAGTCAGAACACCTTTGTGGCCATTGTTGATCTGCCAGAGGGGGAGCATCAGTACAAGTTCTACGTGGACGGACAGTGGACCCACGACCCGGCTGAGGTCAGTATTACACTATAACTCCTAACGGATTCATGAGGCACTTGGACCTGGTAACACCACTAGTATATAACTGCTCTTTGTAGACTATAATAACATATAAATAACAAGAATGCTCTTTATTATATGAATGATATTGCATCTGCCTGGTTTTGTATTTCTGCGCTTTAATCGTGCCGTTGATTGTCTCATGTTTCCTCACACAGCCGGTTGTGACCAGTCAGCTTGGGACGGTCAACAACATCATCCAGGTGAGGAAGACGGACTTCGAGGTGTTTGATGCTCTGATGGTGGACTCGCAGAAATGCTCTGACATGTCAGGTGAGTGCTGGACACCTGCCAAACCGTCAGAGAATTCAATTGTTTCTCTTAACTTGATTTTGGTCACGTTGCTCAAAGCGACTGTTATGAAACCTCATGGAATTATGTACCATGGTCTTCAAGAGAAATAAAAAAAGTTAATGGCGGATATTGTTGGTCACGATTTTGAAACAGAATTCTGGAAATGCCCCCCCCCCCCCCCCCGGAAAATAAAACTCTCCCGGTCTCCCCCTGGGCCGGATCATCAGGACGCATATGTTCCTAAACAGGAAGAGAAGAATAAGTCTCCACCCCTCCTCCCACCTCCCCTGCTCCAGGGTAATCCTCATAAAGACACTTGGATTTTCTGTGAAGAGCTGTGATGCAGTTCTACCAGGCTTAATAATCACTATTATTTCTATTGTCCTGAAATCACATTCTTGAGTTACAGTAACTTGGAATATAGTCTACTTTTTTCAGAAGTTAAGTTCAGGGCATAGACCTTTTTTTGTCAGGCATCAAACTACATATTTACTCTGGAGGAGATGAAGTAAATTCATAAAATAGGACGGCAGTGTGAACCAAAGATCTACACAAAAACATGGATATTGCACATTGAGAGAGGCAAGGCCTCTTTTTTTTTTTCTTGTTTCTTCTCTTATCCAGGGTGACCTGCACTGCTCCCAGAACCCAAACCTGGTCATGCTCCACACCTCTACGCCTCTTTTCTCTTTAGGTGAAAATCTATTTTATCAAACTGGAAAATTAAATACAAACTACAAATACAAAATGTGACGTCCATTTTCCCTGCAGCACGGACTTCTGAAATGTGACAGAACCTCTCTGTGATGCACTTGAGAAAGGGCCTGCTGTGTCGGCGTTGTGAGTACAATCTGTGAGCTCACTCAGCAGATCGTATCTGTGGAATCCCATCGATGATAACAAGGCCGCTGGAAATAATCACCCTTTTTTTCCCACAATGTGAATGGAAACGCAAACTAAACGTACCATCCAACGGCAGTGTCTCTAACTAGTGGAGAGTGTTTATTTTTTCCATACAAGAAGAACGGCACACTGGAAGAGGTGTAGCTTATTGCATTGACATGCCGAGGGCTTGAAGGCCTGCCTTCTCACAAAGCTCTTAAAGCCCAAAAGGAAACACTGTTCGCTGTTTTGGCACTTTTGCCGTAGATTGTGCTGGTAACTGCAAGCCTCACCTTGTTGAGATCCCCTGATCGCATACATAGCACATTTTAACACTGATCCCTTAAGAAGAAAGCAGAGAAAACTAAGCCATACTTTAAGTAGATAATTTTCTCTAAAACTGACCTGTTCACCTTTATCAGCTTCACACTAAGAGCCCTCCATTGGTCCAAGACTTTTTTCAAGAAGGACAGGATCACAGGTTCTCTGATACTACCATTCCTAAATGCACAGTGACAGTTTGTGTGAAGCAGAAACCAGAGTTAACTTTCTTTTAAATAGGGCCTTTACAGCTTACGGTTCAGAAGCCCAATCTATGTTTGCGTTATATGTACGTGGATCTGGCATTTCACTCTGTCCTTTTACTAATTTTATGTGTACCTTGTGAGCACTTTGCTGTTGGTCGTGATAAGTGACTAATGAATAACCATGATTGTCATCTTCAACCACACTATATTATAATAATACATCTTTAGATTAGACCATCATTGCACAACACGACATGGCCATTAAAGAATGTTAGGGCTTATGGTCAAATTGAATAGGTCAATCAGCCAGGCGATTCCCATCATGCCTTGGGTCAGAGCGCTAGACCTGCTGCACCTTGATCTTGCGGCGTTCGCTTCGGCTCCGCCTCTAATCTCTGTGCTTAGGCCACTCTACGCTGCACATGGTGATGACTCCTGAAATTGTTCCCACAAGCCTGCATGTGTAACATTGCCTCAAATAGCTTTTGAAGTTGTTTGTCTTTTTCCTGTCACAGGATGGAGTGATGGTGCTCAGTGCGACACATCGCTTCAAGAAGAAGTATGTCACCACGTTGCTTTACAAGCCCATCTGAGGGAGGACTTTTTAATCTGGTCAGAGTGTGTAAACGGCACACCGAGTGTACAAAATATTATCTCCACCCGTTCCTTCCATTACGTTGTGGGGGCAGGTGAATTTGGGGCCCTGGATGACAGCTCTAGATTAATCTGAGGCTTACAATAACTCGGAGACTATATTTTGTACGTGCCCTGTATATCCAGTTGTTTTGCACATCTGTTCAGGGGGATGAATGGCGCTCAGTCGTTCCAGACAAAACCTGCCTTCACTAGTTCACGCTCAGTAATTAGTAGGAAAAGGCAGACTTAAGACGCGCATGCCACATCACAAATCTAAGACCATATTTAGTCTCGTATCACGATATAAAATATATCAATATATAGCCTAGCCCTAATGGTAATGCTGGGAGAACGGAAAGCCCTGAGATGCTTAAGGGTGCTGCAGTGTGTTATGTAAACACAGCTGTGCCATCCAGAGTATGAATGTGGAGGTCAAAGGAGCGAAGGCACTGCAGTAGTTCTCCACTGTTTTCATTCACCTGTTTATGTTGAGGAAGTGTTGACTTTTATTTACCCTTGACGATAAAGCACACATATCATTTGTGAGAATAGTCTGTGTTGATGTTTAGTTGCAGGCCAGTCAAAGGTTTAGACAAAAGTAGCTTGTTAGTTAGGATTAAAACTTAAAAGTTTAGACTGAAAACATTTATTTCTATTTTTTTGAGGTATACATTTTGTTTAGAAAATACTTTAGCAGCTTTGCACTATGTCAACAAAATTGTAGAATATGCATACAGTGTATGTACACTTGCAGCACGAAGAATAACCTCTTGTGTACTGGTCTTCCCAATGAATCACATCATATTACTTCTTTTATACGATTGAAAGGCATTCGAGTCCCTGCGGACTGTTGCCAACTGAGTGGTCAAGGCATCATGGCTTTGCCATGGAACATCGCTGCTCTTTAATAGCAGCACCAGCTTCAGAAGCCAGGGGGGGAGAAAGACGTAAGAAATTTAAATTGAATGAAGATGTTTTGACTGAAAATGGGGATGGTGAACAGTTCCATGAAGGGACCAGAATAGGATCATTTGACCTACTGTTATGTACGCATGTGAGATTTATTAATGTTTGTACAGTTGGGGTCCGTATGTATTTCATGAAGTCTGATGGACAGCAATGTGTTTGAAGTTATGAAGCTATTTAATTATCATTAATCAAATGAGACCACAACGTTCGTTGTTTCTGTTGCACAGACCAGTAGATGTTGACAATCTCCTCAGTAAGGATCTCATTTGTTTGTCTGCTTTTGACAAATTATTGATGCTAGACGTGCAAATATATCACAATATCAAACAGGTTTTGACCCTTTAAACCACAGTGGTGTGATATTTTGTTATCTGATTTTCACAGCTTTTTGTATTAAAGCTTAATTTTCAAATTCATATGTGGTTTGTTGTGTTTTTGACTATTCTGTGACCCTCTTGTAATTAACGTTGGTCCTGATACCCCCAAAAGTTCAGCTGAAAAGAGACAGGCTGATAACCAGCTCCAAACTACAAATACAGAAACAAACCAGTGCTTCCACAGTGGGGGGGATAAAAAGAGATATGCATCGTCAATAATCAACCAAAGCGTCCTTGATAATAAGGACACCTGTATGAAGAGGATTTTATTTGAATTAAACCATTAACCAAAATAAGGCCTGCAGTAATTAGGTATTTGTTAAACTCTTGCAGAAATAACAGGAGGACACAAGTTAAACATTTGAATACAATTTACTTCCCAAGTGCTTTGATTCAAACAATTGCCTGCCTGTGAAGAGAAAATGTAGTTATGTTATCACAATGTACAAAACACAAGAGATATTTATTACCACGTGGACTTAAAGCTGCATGGAATACTATGCTTAAAGGGATAGTTCACCCCTAAATAAAAACCAATACATACTTTACCAAGTACCAGTGTTGCTATTTATCCGTTTCTATGGTTTTGGTTTGAGTGTTATCGACTTATCGGTTAAGACTTCTGCTTTAGAATCATCCGTATCATTTTATGTGCTACATTGTTCGTTTTCTAACAACATGCTTCAAAAAATACTGAAAGATCATTCAGTTTCAAAATGCTAAAACATATCTATTGTTTTACCCATATTATCATAAATCCTAACTAAAAGTCAAAATAGAACAAAGCAATAACGGATGTGTTGGGAAAGCTGACCCTCGTTCCTCTGAAGCCTGTGGAGTCTCCTCATGTCACAGCCTCACATCACTGCTGCTCTTATCACAGTCTGGGATTTTCCATGTCTCTGCACATCTGGTCTCACAGTACCTCATAGTCGCATAGTTTGGACACAAGGGTGCTACACGTTGCTGCCCTTTCTTGGTGATTTATGGACCAGCAAGGTCAATTAGATATTTGCGGACTTCAACCATTATGGTGGTGCTGAAGGTATTCAGATACTGTACTAAGTAAAAATACTAATACCACGCTGTGAAAATCATTACAATTGCAAAGTCTTGCATTGCAAATGCTTTAAGTATAAATATGAAAGTGGAGCAGATTGCCAAAAAAAGCCCCGGCGTGAGGCCAGCTCCTACTCACGTGTAGTTCCCCTGGCTGTTGGAATGGTTGGTCCTTTATAGTGTGGCCAACCTTCATGAACCGCTTGTTGTCTCCAGAGGGGGCAGGGTGTTTCCCCTTTTGGTCACCTGACCTCTTGCTCGTCAGTGCCCCTTCCTTTGGTGCTGATCTCTTGAGGCGCTGTCCAGGGTGCTGCGCCCGTGGGTTGCCACAACTCCCCCAGCAGGAAGCTGGGACCCCGCCGGACCGCCCACATAAAAGTATCCCGCCTGGACAGTGCATCCGCGTTAGCATGTTCCCTCCTCGGCCGGTGCTCTACCGTGAATTTGTTGTCCTGGAGGGCCAGGAACTAGCGGGTGACCCTTGCGTTTGAGTCCTTGGCCTGCGCCATCCATTTCAGGGGTGCGTGGTCTGTCACCAGGGTGAAGCTCCGCCCCAGGAGGTAGTAGCGAAGCTTGTCCAGTGCCCATTTTATGACAAGCGCCTCCTTCTCCACCGTGGAGTAAGCGCGTTCGTTTGGCAGATACTTTTGGCTGATATACATCACCAGGTGCTCCTCGCCGTCTCGTACCTGAGATAGGGCCGCCCCCAGTCCCACTTCCGAGGTGTCGGTATGGACTAGGAATGGGAGGGAGAAGACAGGCGTTACTAGCACTCAGATGCCCCGTTAGCCTCGGGGGTCTAGTTGACCTTTTTTGGCCCCCCCTTTCTCGTCAGGTC